ATAGGTACGTATTATCTTTGAAAAAAATGACTTCGTATATCGTGCCATGGAAAATAAATTGTATTAGAATTGGCCTTGTCTGTCAAGTTTGGGTGGTACTACTGTCCTCAGTTGGACGTAAATCAGAGTCAGTATAACCTTTAGCTAATCGCTTGTTATCACTCATTGTTGACATATATGAATACATGAATCTTAACAGCATGTGTTTAATTTTTGACACCAGGTGCTAGACCTGGTCCCACAGCCAACTCTAATACATCTTATTTTCAATTGAACTACGATCAAGATAAGGTTCTAGTAAAGTTAAGCAGACGAGTTAAGCCTCATTGGAAGCTAATTTAACAACGCAACCTATAATAACTCAGGACTTACAGCAGCTACAACAGGTCCATTAGCACTAAGAATTTATGTACGTTTTGCTAGTAGTCTATATGGCTAATTATGACTGTTGACACATTGTCTGCACAATTTAAACTGCAGACACGAAAAATCGATTGTTTACTTATTATACACGCCAAGGTATAAATAATTATCATCACATAAGAATAATAATCATCACATCACTGTCAAGGACACTATCACCTATAGTTTGAAAATTATTTTACACGTAGTTTAATATATCTATGTTACTCCAAATGTGATAAACCCGATAATTATAAATAATTACCAGTAATTAATTATAATTATTAGTAATTTACCGAAACTGTTAAGATTTAAGTTGTTTATACTTACGTCTACAAATGTTTGTTAGGTGTAAGGTTTTAGGTTTCTTGTATATTATTACACAAATTTGCTACACATTATAGTAAGAGTTACCACTGCACTAGGACTATGAGATTATCGTACGTTTACTAAAATGCAGTTCGAAAAATGTGCACTTTCATTGCATTAAGTGTAACACAAAAATTTATACAAATATGCAAGTTTAAACTGTTATTTTTTATTAGATAAAAATTCCAATTATCAACACTAAAAAATGTATATAATGGCACCAAACTATGGTAAATATGTATTAGAATATGTAAAATATAGTAGTTAAATATACATTGTATCACTTACAACTACAAAAAGAATGCAAATAAATATCTACGTGATCTTTTGCATTACATATATTTACAAACAAAAGTTTAAATATAAAATAACGGTCTATTTAATAAGATTTTCTAATACACTTTTCGATTTTATATTCACCAATTACCATGAATCAATAGATTTGCAATATACTGTCCACGCGAATAGTATTTCATTCTTTGAAAATATGCAGCATAATTTATAGTTTTATGAATGGCAAGTTAGTTTGTTGGAACCTGTAATAGGGTTTATCGGACGACTGCTACTTTCCTGTTTTCTCGACATTTCATGACCCGTCGAATATGAAAAAAGAGTCTCCCGTGTCCATCTATCTGTCGTTTGTCTGTCTGTATGTTTCCCCGTCTTTGTATCCGAAACTACTAGACCGATTGTGATCAAATTTTATATGTATTTTAGGAATATCGTGTAGGTAGATATTAAACGCTAACCAAAATGTGACAACATCACCTCAGAATATTAAATAGTCAAAGTCAGTCAAAATTTGGTCATGATGAGCTTACTTACTTACTTAATTAATTAGTCCTCTCTGTGTCTTTTAACATAAATGCCGTCGCTGATGCTTGTTAATCTGAACGTGCTAATGGTTGAATTCTTTGGAACTATAAACATAAACAGTCAAAGTTAAGCATGCACTGAGAATTGAAAACACACTTTTTCCGTTGGCTATCTGCTTTAAGTATATTTTATATTGTCCGCACTTGTGCGAACCGCGCTCCCTTGGAATTTGCGGCTCGGGTGCAATACAATACAGTTATGAGGTAAGCTATAGTCGTGAAAACACCCTCAGTCAAAACACCTTAGAATATAACTTTTCCTAGTAACCTTATATAATTATTGTCGTGGATATCTCTTAAGGCCAGTTCTTACATTTTTCTCTTGTGGGGTACATTACGTTTTCAGAACGTCGGTGATATCTCCATTATCAACAGATTTATTGTTATAAAGTTTTAAATATAACTTATCCACAACTTTGTCTATATAACACAAGGGCAGTTTTTTTTCTTAACTTACCGCCATGTATTTTTTTTATGTATTTTTAAAAATCAGTATTGGCGTTATATATGGAAATTTTGGAACGCGGTTTTCACCACTCGATACTGTTTCTTTTGTATTTTTTTTTTTCATTGTAAATTCGTAAGGAATGATATGACATTTCTACGACATACGTAAAATTTCGTAGTTTATTCTTTCACATAACACGCATGAGACAGAAATAGAAAAAATTTGACATGGAACATGTAAGTATAAGTATGCTCAGTATCTAATTTTTGTCAAAAGTTTAGAATGTCCGTCCACAAGGGAAATCTCGACTTTCGCCGCCTCGTCGAAATAAGAACTCTAATAAAGCGTCAAATTGACGTTAGGTAGTAGTTTAAAATTGTTAGTGATTGCAAGTGCAAAGGTAGGCGGCAAATTGGAGAATTTCAGATTTTCAATTGCACTTTGATGAGACAATTATAACAAAAGATAACAACAATTTTAATCGTTGATCGTTTTTTCTGTTAGGCAGAAAACGCACCCGTTTTAAACACTAATTCGAAGTGATAAGTTTCCTATGATAAAAATTTGGCTGCAAATAAAAATAACGTGTCTTAAAACTAGGCTAGAAAAACATTTACAATCATTACGTAGGTATAACTACATATTGTGTGTTTGTTTACTTGGTAACCCAAGTAATGTACATATGTCTACACAGCTTCAGTAGCACTAGATGAAAGTAATACATGTTGATACTAGTGATACCCCTTTAAGGAGTTATATGACTCCGGTACACTTGCCGTTAAATAACACATTTAAAATAGAAATTAATTTTTGATCACTGATTTATTTATAAGTATGAACTGCTATTCTACATAAAGCTGATGAGTGATGACTTAACAAAAATAGAGTAAAAACTAATAACATACTATAATTCGTTTCTGCTAATTCTATGCTATCTTTAGTTTTGTGGAAAAATTGACATACAATATTTTGCTTATTAGTGGAAATAGTGGTATCAGAGGAAAACTAAATTTAATAGTATGTGGTAGGTAAGCACAACAATGTCGTCGAACGCGTAACAGTAACCGCCTGCGCGATGCCGCCCCCAAAAATCAAACAGAATCATATAACTCCTTCACAACATATTTATAAACATAATTAATGTGCACAACTTAAATTAATTAAACGGTCGAACTTATGGATATAACCTACTTAACTAACAAAAATATATTTTTTCCTACGTATCGTAAAAATGACAGCTGTCATTATTGTCATTAATCTTTTGTGTATACTTGACAATAAAATTTGACACTTTTACATATAATTAATAGAGCGCAGGCTCGAATTTACTTGATTTTGCCTGAATGCTTATTTCGTACAGGACTGTATGGCTTGGGGCAACTATATATTTCGTTTTTCAAATTAGACAAAGGAAAATGGAGCAAATGGGGCAGGAGCTTTGTACAGTAGGCCAAGCTAAAATTGGCCGGTGAAACTCCTTGACAGTAGTAATCTGTGTTTGTCAGGATTACTTCCTCAGTCATCTGTCTTTACCTATAGTCATGTTCCCTGAAATACACATGATGTCTTTTGTCTGTCAAAATCGATAGGGAAATAATTACTTGTAAATTTAAGCTGAAGACGTTCTTTATGAGATTTAAGCCACATAAACCACACGACAGAAATTTCCACGATAATTATATTCAGTTACAAAAAACCCTTTTCGCAAGCCCCAAGTTTAGCGTCTGTTTCTATTCTAAATATTTACAATGTCGTTATTAAAATTAACAGTGAAATCAATAACTTCTGTGTTCCAAAGTCATGTAAGGGCGATGATATTACCATTTTGCTCAAACCGAAGACGGTATTTACTTAGTAGGAACGAACGAATCTAGACGTTCCCGGGCACTTGGCGTAATGACCCCATTTCGGGTTCTGCTCGTGACATATATCATACGACATCTGAGAAAATGTTGTGCTTACGCACCTGTTGAACAAAATATAATAACGTTATTAGTTTGAATCTTTTATAAATGTGCTGGTTTAATTTGGGGCTAGCGGCGATATTATTGAAGTTTTGTCTGAAAAAATAAAAGAAGACATTGCAGAAAAATTTTAATTTAGTCTACAATTGGAGTATTAATTATACTTGCCTGCTGCATGGACATATACATAATACTTGATCAAAGTTACTTTCACCCAAACCCAAGACGTTACAGTATTATGTAATCTATGTGTATACACCGAGAGAATATAGTTTTGATTTTAAATTTGGTATCAGCTCGTTAGTACGTGGTTAGGCCCAACAGGCAAAAAAATGTTGTTATTGTGAATAAATTACTTGCTACACATATAGTTTTTCCAGACATTTTTGCACTTTTGTGATCGTTCTGTAGTAATAGACACGAAATAACAATTATTATTTTCGTGGTCAACAACAAATTAGTTTTTATGCGAACGTAATGAGGAAATGTGTGGAAGATCCAACAACCGAAATTTGTTACTAACGTCATTATTCATTATTAATAATAATAATAATAAGTTTTATCAGATTTTGTTGGCTCACTTCCTAGTGAGTGCCATAAATAATACGATATATCATAAAAGATAACAATTTAGGCCTACGTTATAAAAAGAAAAGTATTTGAAGCGGTGTGTTATTACCGACAACAATTGCGAGTTAAGTTGAGTAAATATTTGCCAAAAATCGAGAGTATAATGTTGGTTACATGATTATTGTAATTTTTACCTGTGTGATGACTGAGGATCAACAAGTGCAAAGTGATTCGCGGCGGGGAGAGCGGATGTTCAAAGTTTCAAGGATGCTTCGATCCTGCAGTCTCGTCTTGTGTGCGTTGTACTCGTTAACAATTGCCATGTGACTATCGACCCATATCCGATTATGTAAGGTTTCTAAGTTTACACAAACATTCTTCGGAATGACCTCCAGTTAGCTGTTGAGCGTTAACAGTATTATTATTCTCAAAATTAGGTGCAGGTGTATAGGTTGCGGTTTTGAGCAAAAGGCGGTTCATCAACGGATGCGATTATCGCAAGATAATTATGTATTAATTGAATCCCATGCCCGTACAGAGGCTATTTCAAGTCGTCGTCGGGTTTTTTAAGCAGTTTGCAGTTTACATGTCAGTTAAACTGAGATCACTTTCACTTCCCTACAAAGAGAAGACCTTGAAGCTTTGAACAGGTAAAATCAGTCTCGAGGACAGTCGACCGAACACAAAACGATTCATTACTAAATAGCCGTACAACGCCGAGTTGGGTTACAGTTACTTCATTATTGTTGTTTAAATACAGAATATCGTCATGAAAGGGTTGTTGCGGCAGTTGGTTGCGTATCAATAATGCGATTTATTTGAGAGTGAGAGAGAGAGATAGAGAAAAAAAGTACACGGTAAAAATAAAATGTAAATTAATTCTTGAGATCTTACTAGATATATTTGGAACACAGTTCCAGTCAGACATTACGCGATAGTGAAAGTGCTACGCCATGCCTACTTTCCCTTGCTCGCATAACGTAATACCATAATACTAACATAACAATAGATGCTTATTACACACAAAGTCCACCGTGCGACGAAGGAACAACACCGCACCTCTTTCTCCGTGTGGTTCGAATTTGCTGGCCGAAGCCGATTTTATTTTCAAACCGAGTCGGTTTAGCGGTTTATGATTATGTATGAGAAGGCGTCCGTTAGTAGGTTCGTTCGTTCGGAGGCATCGAAAACGTAACGATGATGATGTTGATGATGATGATGATGATGATGATGATAGTTCGATAACGAAACAGCAAAGTCGCGAAGATCTGAGTCTCGGACGTGGCTCGGTTTTGAAAATAAAAGTACGGCTGAAGGTCAAAAATGGAAAAGAAAAAGAAGAAAAAACATTATTAGATCTTTCTATTCCCAGCGCTTGGTATTGCATCGGTATTATACAACCGTTCCCCCTCTTATATGAGCCAAGTATTGTGAAAGTCCGGTTGTGGCCCCTGTTTGGGCCCCGCTCGCGACGAGTCTCCTTGGCGAAGCCGGTGAAAGCAATTATTGAACACGGTTGGAATGCTGCTCGCTAGTCGCTGCAACAGCAATGTGACGAAGGCAAAATTATTCACCACTCGCTTACGAGCTTTGATACACTCAAAGTCGCCGATGTAAAAGTATTATTGTTGCTATTCGTGGCGAAATGCAAATAGTACAAGATGACAAAAAATGTGCTAAACCGCGCGCAGTCGCTTACTGCCTGTTCCTTTCGACCTTGAAAATAGAGAAAGAGAAGTTACAAGTGAGCTAGCAATAGGAAAAAAACTTGCGGTGTAGTGGGGATTCAAGAGAAAAGAGGGGAAAGTAAAGGGAGAAATTAAGAGTTAGTAGTATTACGTTTGATCCCGTGAGCAAAGCTGATGGTAATATTTTGCATCGGACCGCAGACTTTCGGGGGTGGCAGTGATCGAGTTGCGACGCAAGACATTTAACAGAAATTCCTCGTTTCGGGATTTGGGAAAACTTGCGTCGATCAGCACCGCCAAATATTGTTGTATTATTTTGAAGGCTCGTGTTCGTTCACTTTTACTTTCATTTGTGGCGCAACACGGTGTTGAGTCGTGCCCCAAAAATATAATCCAATCGACGCAAAGGCTTGCGAATGCGAACGTTCGAACATTGTAACAATATTATTAATGGTGGTGTGTAACCCAAGTGCTAAGTGTGGAGCAATGGCTTGGTATACTACTACTAGTAGTAGTAGTAGCAACAGTAGTAGTGGTGCATACTCTGGTGCTCGCGACTGCCCTTCGGCAATTACAGTCGCGGGTGCCGCCCTTTAGGACCACATAATCTCCGGGTAAGTCGTTGTTATAATGGGATCCGTGATATCCGTATCGCACCACCATTTGCCGCCTCTGCCACTTAACAACCTGTTGTTAGTTTAGTTTACTTAATCCATGATTCGGTGCTTTGAGGATACATAAGTATACACGCGCACAATATCGGCGCGCCTCGTGCTATCTATCCTATTAGTACGTACTGATAAACGCTCAACAACTGCTTTTGCTTTCAATTGATACATTATGCAATTGACATTTCTATTCTTTTCTATTACACCATCACATTATTTCATTACCATTTTGTTTGCCATAAGCTCCACGGACATACGACGACAATTCAACCGATTTTTTCGCCACTGCACTACAACGTACCCATCTTGAATATTAAAATAATATATTCAAAACAGCACACGTTAATTATTTTTTCGTTGTTCGAAAAACATTGACCGCTTGCCGCCGCCTGTAACTAAACTAACCAAAAAATCAACTACCAATATACATAATAATCAACAAAACAAAATAAATTATAACGTATTCCGCGAAATCAACCCAACACCTGTAAATACAAGTAAGGTGTGTCTATAAAATGAATAAAATCCGCGTCTGCACTTAAGAATGCTGTTTACCTTTCGAAGTAAGTTTTTTCTTTCCACCATCAAATCTTTACCATTATACAAAACTAGTGCATACAATTACCTTTTTAAGTATATCTTGGTGTATGCCGAAATTCTAGAATTAGTTGTTCGTTCTAGGTTGTCCTTGACAAAATTAGTGAATTCGCCATGTACTCGGAGGAACAGGATTCCCACGGCTTATTAACCTTGCATTATGGCAAACATCATGCAACTATAGTGGACGAAATTAAAACTTGTTTTGCATCTGAGAACTTTGCCGATATGACATTTATATGTGACGATAAGACAACATTGAACGCCCATAAATTAATAATGGCAGCAGCAAGTCCATTAGTGCGTCGCATCCTTGGGGAGAGTGCCCATGCTCACGGGCCAAGTGTAGTACTCATCCCAGGAATAAAAAGTTGCCACCTCCGACATCTGCTTGATTTTCTCTACAACGGTCAAGCTTGCGTTAAGGTAAGGCGTTTGCTTTTTTACAAATCCCGTTCTTATGATTTCTACTTTTCATAGTCCAGCGAGTTAGACAGCATACAAGAACTGTTCGAATTACTGCAAATTAAATCGGACATGTGGCAGTCTTCGACATCAGAAGAGGCCGCTAAATGTCAAGCCGAGTTGGATAGCAGTAATTGGATAACAGCAGAAAATGACAATCGCGATTTGGTATTAGTTAAGAAGGAAACCGATGACGACGAGAAAGAAGAAGGCGAAATAAAAGACGATGACGAAGACGACGCGTTAGAAGATAACAACACTTCGGACGACGGTGACGACGGTCTTTCGCCAAACCCAGTTAATTTATCGTTAAACACTAAAAGCCTCGAGGATGACAAAGACAACGACGATAATGTCTCGGAGGTAAGTTACGTATCCACCATTCCATAAAACTACAAATAAATTGTATTTAATGTGTAAACAGCATTTGGATAAGACAAACACTGAAACATTAAAAATTGGTCAAACGACGGTGAAGATAGCCCCAAAAGTCCACGAACTGTCACAATTCCATCATCATCGAATGAAACGAAAAAGCATGTATATCGAACCCATTGATCTGAAACATCAAGAAGAGCTTTCCCAACTGAAACAACCCATAGCCGATCCAAAACTAATTTCTTTGGTGCAGAGTCCCGACAATTATGTCGTTACGCCTCATCGAAAGCGCCGCCCTGGTTTTCATAATTCACCGGCTCAGAATCCGCCCTTTGTTCCGTTTTCACCTTCATCATACATAGACGACACCGTCGTCCATCACCATCAGCATCATAGGTACAAGAATTTGCCGCCATTGATCGCAGCCCATCATCCTTTGTCTCTGTCTGCACCACCGTTTCTGGTGGATCGAACGTCGCGTACGCCCACCCCCGGCCAGCAACATTCCGACACGTCAGGGGGACCTTCTGACAATATAGTTGTTAAATACCGACCGCCGAGTGCCGATCAAAGTTTGACAACGTCGGACGCTTATCAAAATTTTGAACATACGTGGGGTGCCGCCTGGTCGCTGTGTCAGACCCAGATTAACCCGTCGACGACGATCAACGAAGACTCGAGGGATGCATCGGCGTCATTTTCAGCTAGCAGTGGTAGTGGTGGAGGTGGTGGTGGTAGTGGCAGTGGTGGCGGCGGTGCTGGTGTCGGTGGCGGTAGTGGCGGCGCGGGTGGTGGTGGCGGCAACGAAACTGCTGAAAGTTCGTCTCATGTTCCTGTGAGTACTAAGCAAGTCTTACCTACTGTGCAGGTTCGAGAGTATCGCTGTGAATATTGTGGAAAACAGTTCGGAATGTCGTGGAATTTAAAGACGCACTTACGCGTACACACGGGGGAGAAGCCCTTCGCGTGCCGATTGTGTGTGGCTATGTTTAAACAGAAGGCGCATTTACTCAAACATTTGTGTTCTGTGCACAGAAATGTTATATCGTCCAACGATGGAAATTCGGGGCGATTCACTTGCTGTTTCTGTCCGCTCACGTTTGAATCGCTTCCCGAATTAATTAGGCATTTATCAGGACCTCACAACAACTTGCTTCTAAGTAAAAATATGCACGAGCTTAAATAACAACATTCCATTATTTAGATGAGGTCGTATATGATATTGTTTTTGAGAACGACCGCATCGTCACGAAGTCGTCGTTCGTCGTTCTACATTGTGATATAAATATTACTCCCAATTGTGCCTTTCCTGTGTATATTGTGTGAACTTAGGTGTAACCCAACAACCCTCAGGGATGTAGTCTATAGTTTTAGCCCCGAGGTCAGGCACCACCGTCAAAGAAATGTGGGACCAGATGTGCCTCCAATATCATTGGTGTCCTTTTTGTGTTATAATAGTTTTATAACTTAGACCTAATCTCGACCGATGTTGTGTTCAATGATTTTGCGTACCTAATCAAGCTGTGCGTGGTGTGTATGACAGGTGACCTGAACTGCTTTTTTCTATTTTAGTGTGATCAGTTACTATTAATTGATCGTTACGAAACAAATTAACGCTACATAAATGTCCACAGTTATATACATCACAAATGGATGCATATTATACGGTACATCAACCAAAAATGCTATGTTAATAACATAAAAAATTCATTTTTGATTCAAGCATTTTTAGTTTATGTACGCAAGTTTGTACATTTATCTGAATTATAAAAGTTTTTACTACAAAACTGGATATGAACGTATATTTTTTATATACACACCAAAGAAGTAAAAATTAGATCATGTTAACTGGATATAATCACTCTAATTAACTTATTCATTTTTTTTTTTTAAATTCTTGTGTTTTTATTTTGTTTCTCGATGAAATAAGAACCTCAAACATAGTAGCTTTTATTTTATCAATTTCTACAAGAATTTCGCTTATTGGCAATCGTTGTTGACAAAAATTTGATTCGAAGAATTTTTAGCTTTTACGTCCATCGAAAACTTTGGCGTTTTAAACAGAAGTTGGTACAAATGTGGTAACATTGTAGATTTGTTAGTTTTATTAATTGTACATAATAGATTGTAAATGCTGTATTTACAACAATAAAACACTTTTTACGATTTTTGTAAGTTATCAACAGCAAAATTAATTAGGAAATTTTCACACGCTCAAGGTTAACAGGTAAGTTTCTTGCGGATATTTCATTTTAAAGGTTAAAAATAAGTACTTTTTTATTATGATTATGAAAGTTTAATGGAAGCCACTAAATTTCATCCGTTTAAAGCTAACCATGTTTATTCCAAAAACACTAATTGCGACAATTATTATTATCGGAACAATTACCTTGTTAGTTGTAAAACCTGACTTAAGTAGCATACGTGCAATCTAGTCACCTACCTACAAAAAGAAGAAATTGCTGACGCCGCCAAAGACGAAGAAATCAGGTTATGTACAAGAGATTAGAGTGGTGGCCTTCGTGGCGACAAAAAATGTTCCTTTTTTTTATTTCGTTCGTAAGGTAGAGTTAATTTGTACAAGAATGAACTATACTACTTTAACCTATAGTACTTCCTACACACCTTCCCCTGTACGGAGAAGAAATTTCATTCAAACAAAATCGACATTACTTCACGGGTTCTATTATTTCTCTATTAGTTGTTTTTGTTTCTATGTTTTCTTAGGTTGCAATATGTAGCTCTGTGACGTTGGAACTCCATTCTTACAACACCCCAATTTGTTTAATAAATACTCAAATTTTGACATTTGATTCCCTGTTTTGAATTATTTTATGAATAAAGTTGAACTAGCTCAGACTTATTACTTTCACACTGCCACGTACTTAAGTTAAGTATATGACGTTTTATTTCAATGTTTATATTACAATTTAAATTGTTCTACGTCTCGTTTGCTTTAATTTGGAGTAAATTATGCCGCTGCCATCTTAATTGAGAGACAACGCCTACTAAAAAATTGTAAAATTGTCTTAGAACTTCATTTCTAATTTAATGCACATTTCTACTTTAATTGCACTTCCCTTGACCTTACACTGTCTGGAATTAGAAAATCCACTAACTGGAATTTTGTATTCTGTCTGATATTGAACTCATTGAAGCACACAAATAAAAGCAAATTTTTCTTGTTCTCCTGACTTAGATTTTCCCAGTGTGAAAGGGATGATTTGACCATATCAATATTATTGTTTACTTTTGGTTCGTTTAGTGGTTTTCGTTGTACTTAACTCATAAAAACAGTCCATTTCGTCGTGTGATGACTAGACTGTATATTGGGTTGCATACATTCAAATTAACACAGCCAACGAAGTTTAAATGTTTGATTTATGAGTGTGGTTTTTGGTTCTTTCATTAAAATTTATGGCAGTTTCCTTTTTGAGTTCGTTATTATCTCATTAACTATGAAAATCAAGATTTTTAAAAAATCGGAAATGTGCTTAATTAAAAATTAAAAAACGGGGCATTCATTCTCATAAAAAAAAACAAAATAGCTTCTTGGATGCAAGGTAATTACACTTTTTACGGTGTATTGTTGTAGTTTGTATTACACAACAATAGAATTATAAGAGTGTAAAATGCGGGCGAACATAAACAAATTACCTAGTGTAATTGAGGTTTTGTATTTAATTATTTCTGACAGAGTGATACTCATTTTTTACATATTTGTAAACAACGTAACTGAGAAAAAAAAGTTCATAATGATTTTAAGAGGGTGTAACTTAAAAAAATATGGTAAAGTCTGTCGTTATACAAGATATGCATACTGCATTTCGCGGTATAGTAATGTCGTTATGCTGTGGTTATATATTCATTACGCAACGTACCTTGATTACGTGATTTTAATATACTGCCCAGGGCCTACTTTATATACGAGGATGCTAGAAATATAATCAGATTTGTATTCCACGACATTGCAGTATACATTATGCAGTATGAATGTAATTAAATCTTTATGGATGAACGGTTTAGGCTGAAACAACAACAAGAAACAAAGAAAAGTAAGGATAAATACTTAATACTTCTATTTACTTTCATTAGGCAGGGCGGTTTCGGACGAGACTTAATCTGATTCCCTGTAGGCCTGTATGTAGACATTCTTGATTTCTTTTTATTATTATTTTTTTTTTCATTATTGTCTAAACATATCTAATGTATCAGTGTATTCTATAGAATTGCGGTTTTAATTAGAAAAGGGGTGGGGTTATTTCATATCTGATAAATATGGCTACTTGGAACCTAAACATCCACTGGAGATATATCTACTTAAAATCAAAAATGAAGATCCACAACTAAATGTAATAAAATGTGACGTTACAATTGCTTGGTATTTATGTTAAAACGACAGCAGTGTAATAGCAACTGTAAAATTTCATCATATAATGTCTCCTATAGTGTGTTTGAAGAATTGCTGAACACACTTTTTTTGCGTTATGTAGTAAATCCATACACGGTAATGAATTCTGGTGGATTACATTGTACACCTTACTGTTTGCAAAGATAAAACCGTTGGCTGCAAAAGTTCAAAAGGCCAGCTTAGGGCATTGCCTTCTCAAGAACGAATATTTAAGAACAGCAAAATTTGTTTTTTTATTACTCCACAATCAATTACAAAAACATTTACATATAGTGGACCCACAAATCTGATAACGAGAACGTTCGATTAATATACATCTTCCATCTGCCGAATAATAATTAATGTCAGACTGTGCCAGCGAGACTTGCAAAGAAAAACAGGAATATAACAGGATAGTAACCTTATAGCGGTTTCCTGCTATATAAACGTCGCTGCAAGAATCTTGTGCGAGGTAAAAGACCATCATCATGAAGAGTGTGTTCGTCGTTTTATTGATTTGTGGCCTAGCCAAATCGCAAATTCCCAATCTAGGCTTCTGCCCCGAGTACCTTCCCATGCCGGAATTCGAAATCGAAAAATTTTTGGGAAAGTGGTACGAAGCTGAAAGATATTTTCAGTTCTCTGAAGTCGCTGCAAGATGTGTCGTAACGGATTACGCCAAAGCTGCCAGCGGTAGGATCTACGTCTCCAACGAAGTCACAAATAGACTGTACGTGAGTACTAAAACTAAGTAAATCAGTACAGATTGTAATTTTTAGAACCGGAGTTAAACGTGTCATCGATGGAAATTTAGAACTTGCGGGAAAAGCTGGCGAAGGAAAATTGAACGTCAAATATTCGACGACTCCTCTTTCGAGCGAAACGTCATTGACCGTTTTGGACACAGATTACGAGACGTACGCGGTCATGTGGAGTTGTAATGGTTTTGGACCCATCCATACACGTATGTCCACGTTTCTGTTACTATTACTTATTAATTTTTCAATTTTGGTAGAGAGTGCATGGGTGATGACACGTGATCGACTTCCATCTGGGGTTGTTATGCAACGTGCCTATGGAGTTTTGGATAAATTCAAAATAAATAGAACTTTCTTCGTTAAGACAGATCAAGAAGGATGTGCTATAGCAGCTTCCGATATTAATGCTGCTAATGGAATTACGGCTACTTCAACAGTTGCCGAAGCTTCAGGCAATGAACAAAAAAGTAATTCCGACAAGGATGATGACAAAGAGACGAAGAAATCTCCAGCTGAAGAAGATAAGAAGGAAGAAGAGCCTACAACATCTAGTCAAAAGGCATGATTTCAGCTGTCATTCTAAATCACTGTAAATAAGTTATTTAATTTTTGTAATTTTTTAATACGTAAAATAATAAAACACATATAATTATAGGTATTTGATATTATTGTTACGCAGTAGTAGAACATCATTACTTTCGGAGTAATTTATTCAAAAATATCTTAGTAAAAGGTTTATAAAACGATCTTTTTTTATTTACTAACATGTTCATTGCTAGAATCCATTTGGTTAATATTCATTGTTTCAAAACGGGAACTATACATCCAGTGTAGTGTGGACACGTGTGGTGATGGATATAATCTTAATACAAAGGGCTAAATTTACCATTATAAATCAAGATTCGGACCGCTGTGATGTATTTAATTCAAGTGTTGAAAACATTTTGAGAAATTTTAGTATTGTTAACAATATTACTAAAATGGTTCTCTATTTTTAGAGTTTAGCATAAGTACACTACATTTTGTACCTATTTTCTTTAATCTGTATTTTGTAATATATTATATTGTCCTGTCATTGGATAATCATCTGTTAGGTAATAAAGCATTATTATTATATAAATTTGTAAATTCGTGCAATTGTATAACAACAATTTATTAATCGTCGAGATAATTGATTTTTACATCCCGAGCGTAAGCAATGTGATGACGTCACTTCAAAATTGTACAGGGTTTTAAATAGTATAAAATGACATAGTCCTACACATGTAGTTTATGACTCCGAATTGAGTTTTTTCCCAAAACGTCCAGATTTTTTGAAAAAAAATCAAAATTATAAAACAACATTTTGCAATTTAATTTTGAATGTGCAAAGCCGAATGCTTTTGATCAAAATATTCAAAATGCATTTGCTCATCCCCCCTAAAAATTGATGACGCCACCCCAAAATTTTATTGAATAAGTCCTATCTAAAATGTACAAAATATGATGAGTCTGTACATTAAAATAAACCAATCTTTTATTAATAAGCGGAAGTCGAAGCAATAAAAAAGTCTGAGCGACCATTGGTATTGTTTGCAGTTTCTCTGTTTGACTTGGTTGTGTTACCGCTTGTTGTTTTAAATTAAGACTGCTTATACATGAATGATTTTGAGTCGCCTCTGCTAGTACACGCGGCATACGTGAGTAAACTGTTTCGTTATTTTATTGATTATAATTCAATATTCAAGACGACCCAATTCATTTTCCCGAAAATTTGGGAATACAGTACATAACTTTGTAAATAAATCGTTTAATGGACCTTACAATAGTAATTACAATATGTCATACAACAATAACGAACAACACTACAGTTAATACATTAAAAATATACATAAATAAAAACACTCCTCAAAAGGTGAAATATTGACCAACATTAATGTCTTAGAATTACCACCAAGACAAGACTGTAACAAAAATGTCAAATTTCCCAGTGTAGATAAACTCTTATTTATGTTTTTGGTTTCGTTCAGTCTTTCGGCGCAGTTTGTTCTAGCACTTCCAGAACAGCCAAATCCACAAAATTTATCGACCCTGAATATTTTGGCACCGATTTTCTAAACGAATATTGTTTGATGTTGATTCTTGAAGCATGCTATGCTCTTTTTGAAGACTTTTATAACTGTCTGCAAGACCTTGGTACTCTTTTCTGTCTTTTGCAAGCGTTTCAGTAAGGGAAGTATTTTCTTCAGAAACCGACTTGATGCGATCTTGTAACCTTTTCTCGTTTTCCTGAAGAACTTTTATTTTCTCGAGGTTACGTTGCTTTTCGATTCGGAGACTTTCCGCTTCTTTCTCTAGTTGTGGTACATCTGTAAATATACCCAATAACAAATTTTATCACAAGTAGAATGTCCATATACTTACTTGAAACTTTCCTCTTGAGTGTTTTATTGTCCTCCATTTCCACGCTAGGAATCTTCACCTTTGCGGTATATGTTCTCTGCAATTCTAGGAACACGAGTTCCTAGAATCCTAGGAATCCATGTTCCTAGGATTGCAAAAAAACGATGATGAGAACAAACCGAAAGTCGCAAAAGTGAAGATTCCAAGTTGGGAATCTTTGCGGTATATTTTTTTCTGCAATTCTAGGAATCCATGTAGAAACTTGGAATCTTCACCTTTGCGACTTTCGGTTTGTTCTCTTCATCGTTTTTTGCAAGGTGGGTGTTATGGGCTTTGATTGCAGTGCTAGTACTATCTGATGCAGACTTCGAACGACATCGATTTTGGTATCTTGTTGACTCCATCGTTGTAAACTGTGAAAATGAAGAAAACTTTTTTGTTATGGGTACAAATCACCTTATCTTTCAAGATGGCGGCTTTCACTGACGAAAACTCAGTTTGGCTTGCTCTTTGCAACCGCCTTTTTATATTTCTTTGGAAAAACAAAAAAACAAAAAAACCCGGTTACAAAAAAGGTGTGATGTTTCTTTGTATTCAGTTATTTTAAAAAGGATTCTCTGGTGGATATTTTTAAAAATCTACTACATGATTGGTTATTAATGTCAGCTGTCACTAATTTTGTAATTTTTGTAAGGAATGTACAATATAATAACGAACTGATTTGCTACAGACATTTTAGTGAGTTGTGTACAATCAGTGCTCTGAAGAAATGTTAACATTATGGAACTAGATCATAATATGTTAACATGAGATATAATATTATGATAATAAAAGATAACTAATAGGTACTTACGGATTCTAAAATATAACTTGGATAAGCGAAGAAATTAAGGTCGCACTCGCAAATTCAGGGTCGTTGTCGTACACAATAAAACAATCAACACACAATCACTTCTAAAATGTTTAAAATTATTCCCGGATTAAAAAACTGGTCACAACCGACGTGACCAAGTGCCAGCCTCGGTGTTTAAAATCGTGGTATTAGTAGGCGTCTGCCCGCTGAATTAGTGGTTCACTGTGTAATATTGGTTGCCTATTTAGATAATTTCGACACAGTACAGAGATCATCAAAAATGGGTCGAAATTTGTAGTGGAAAATTTAATTTTTGAAAAAATCGTCAAAAAATTCAGGGTCAAAGATCTTCACGTGCTAATTCCAAAAATATAGCCTGTTTAGGGTCACGGAACAATATTTTCGAAATATTCGCAGTGAAATTCCAATTTTTTGAAATTTAAAAAAATTACGATATTTCAATTGACGATTCTGGCAAAAAGGATGGAGTTATCGAAGAAATGAGGCTGGTAGTGACTTCTGGGGCCCGGAATCTACAAGAAAATGTATTTAGTTAAATTTACAAAATCGTAAGGGGACATGTGTAAAATTTAATTTTTGAAAAATTGTCAAAAAATCATTGATTTTGACGTGTTGATTCCAAAAATATAGCGCACTTACGGTCACAGAGCAATATTTTGGAAAAACTGGAACAGAATTCGAAGCAAAGGAAGTGTTGTAGTCGAGTCCGTCAGCCGACTCACTACTTTTACATTTTCTCGACCTATCATGACCCCTAGAGGACGAAGAAACAGGTCTCCCGTTTCCGTTTGTCTGTCCGTCTGTCTGCCGTCCCGGAATTTTATTAGACAAGTACTGGCGGATTGTTGTCAAATTGTGTATATATATTAGGAATATCATGTAGATGGTAAAACGCTAACCAAAATTTGTGTGATGACGTCACTTCAAACTTGCACATAGTAAACGGGTTTTAAATTGAGTATTGAGTTTTTATCCGAAACGTCCAGATTTTTGGAAAAAAACATTTTGCAATTTAACTTGGAATCTGCAAAACCGAATGCTTTGAAATCTTGCAGGCGGTTTACAATTTTGATAACCATGATAAATTTTTAATCAAAATATATTTACGTGTCCCCTCCAAAAAATTGATGACGTCAGCTCAAAAGTTTGCCGAATAAATCCTATCTAAAATGTACAAAATATGATCAGTCTGTACTTGTGACTTATCATTCCATTAATATTTTTTGATTTTCAATATACAGGGTGACCCAAAAAATTTAATGAATGCGTGAACTTATTTTATTGATTTTGAAGATAAGCCAAGAAACATGTTACATTTTTTCTCCGCTTACCTACAATTTAATCAGGAACTACAAAACCGAATACTTTGAAATCTTGGAGATGTGAATTATCACGGCATTAATATTTTTTAGAATTGCTAATACGGGTTGTCTGAAAAAAATTAACGACTAAGTCAATTTATTTTATTGATTAAACCAAGAATTGCAAAACTGAATACTTTTAAATCTTGTAGACGTCTTGAAGTTATTGTATGGTAACTTTTTAATCAAAATGTATCTGTTTATCAACCCCAAGAAATTGTCGCAAATGTGCAAAATATGAACAGACTAATCTAATCATTGCATTCATAATTTTTAGATTTGCTTATACAGGGTGACCAAAAAAATTAATGAACCAGTCAATTTATTAAACAAAGTGAAACCAGAAGCGAGGGAAGTTCTGTCGAAATAACTTTCAACCAATTTTTTAGATTTGCTTATACAGGGTAACTCAAAAATATCAATCACTCAATTTATTGCGTCATCGCAAAATTGTATAAAGAAAAATTTCAACTCGAAAATGCTGTGGATCGAATATGTAGGGTGTTTCATTAAAAAAAAACCTAAGTTGTATATTGCGCCTCAAAAACACTCTATATACTTATTTAATAATAATTTTAGGGTATACTATGGCCTTCGAATATTTTTTTTTGTTTCTAATAATTACGGAGATACCTAGTAGTGACTCACCTTGTATATAATAATAAGTCTCCATTTCTATTACCCTTCCTATGCAATAAAAGAAAACCACAGAAATATTAAATTACTCTTGTAACTGGTGATTTGGCGATTTTTTATCAAGCCGTTTGGACATCAAAAAATCCCAACTTTTTGTGTGATAGATATGATAGCTATGAATGCGCACTGGGAAAAAATTGGTTAAAGGTTTAAATGTCTAAATGACAAGACTTCCTGGTCTCTGAAGTACAATAGAACACATCAAGTTTTTTCGAAAAATGATTTTGAGAATTTATTTTTTTATGATAATCCCTATAAATTAAAATAAAAGTATATATGTAATGTTAAAGTAAGGTAAAAAAGCGTGAAATGTGTACACGTCAAGTGAATGTTACCACTACAAAATTATTTTGTTAAAAACCTTAACGCGGATTCATAAACTACAAGTATAAGAGTATGTTGTCTGATACAATTTAAATTGTTTTTACTTACTTATTGTAACTAGAGTATTTTTTACAACACTTTTTAGTTCGCCTATAATGAAACGTAAAAACTAGAGGTCTAAGTGTGACTTAAGGATGAGATTATCTCTTGTCCTGTTTGAAAATTCCATAAGTACCTAAACTCTTAATCAGTTTCCTAAAGTAAGGAGTAAAGTCAGTGAACATTCTGAATGAATGATTTATAAAGTGAACACCGTAGGGTGGAGCGATGACCAAGAACAAGGAATTGAAGTATTGAAGTTTAGTCAGTGGTGCGAGATTAACACGTTTAGTGGGGACATTTCAATGCGCTTTTGCCTGGGTTTACGACAACGACAATCCCAGTAAAATTTTACCCTTCTTTGACAAACTTGTTTGTTAGTCGTGTAAATATGTTAATTATTTTAAATGAATTGTTGCTGTTCCATGTTTAGGTCTTTCAACTTTAATAGCGGAATTTGCATTTTGATTCCTTCTGTTTGATTTTATGCTGAATATTTTCATCTCAAATGTGAGGCAAATGTAGTCTCGATACCCTTCCATAATATGTTGTTAATATGTTAATTCTAGGCAATAATAGCCTGATTTGAATTAAAATACGACCCTGGCAGAGGGCGGAACAGAGCTGCGGACAGAGAAAACAAACATTCAAGGAAAACATGGCCGCGTCAGCCATGTCGTACGGAGTGCACAGCCCAGACAAACGACACAGCACAACTCACAACATATATACCCTTTTGGTCGAACGCAGCTGCTGCTGCTTTCGTGCTTTGTCAGTTTAGGTAGTCTCTGAGAAGCGTTGAGACGGTCGAAATGTGATAGTGTGATACGCAGAGATGTTTCGTATTTGTTGTTCACAACGTGAATCATTTCAAAATATAGACACTAATACTATACAAATTTGAATCTTTCCAAGATGTGTAAACAAAAGACTAGACAAGTCTAATATGAATCGAAATTTATTTTTTATTTTTCTGACGTTCACTCCGCTAAGTTGGGCTTATTTAAACTTATACCTGAGTTTAGCTGAAGTACAAAAACTTTTAGGTAAGTCACAAACGTTAATGAAAATTTTGTGTATATTTAAATTTTTTCTCTTGCGCATGACATGCGGTGATCGATTAACTGGCTACTTGGGAGGTGGAATGACTTCTGACATTAGTCATCTATTATTTTTTGTTTATTTGCGAAACCAATTAAAATATATACAAAATATATTTTTTACGAAGAGTGAGTTTTAGCCTTTAGGATTTTTTAATGACATACATAACGTCAAATAATAATAACGCAACTATAAAAAGCAACCGCAGACTGACGTTTTCAAGCCGGGATTTATATTTTATCAGCACTTCTTGTTTTATCGTCCGAAAAAATTATCTAAACTATAATACGATAAATTAATATGCAAACTTCAATGTCTGAATTTCTAATGACTACTGCAGTGTTTAGATACTTATTTAAAATTTTAAACTTAATTTTTCATTTGCAAATGAATTTTTAAATGTATCCACAAAAAATAAAACAGTTGATATTTAGATAATCATTCAATGTCAAACGGGTTTTAATTTATAGTGTGTCTATTTTGAAACAGGTTTTACAGTTTTTGGTTGACCCGTTAAGAAATCAAGATTTTTCGAGAACTAGGACTAAAAGTGGCCTAAGGCTTCTTTCACAACACTCATCAAAATAAAAAACGTCTTGATGGTGTCTACACAGTATTTTTTTTGCAGTACTATATTTTAAATTTTCTAAAATTACTTATAGATGATATTAAAAAAACACATATAATTAATGTTATGAAGCGACATATTTTATTGATAATACTAAAAACGGTTTGCCTAAATTTTCTTACATTTTAAAAACACAGGAACGTTATAGATTTCAAAATGAATATACATATTCGTCCCCACTAAAAAATTGATGACGTCACCCTATTTTTATTTTAACAGTTAAAGAGTCATCTAAAAAAGTTTGCAGACTCAAATTTATAATTCATTTAAAAAATACATAATTGACTTGTTTAAAATTTTTGGTAAGACGCTAAGTAATATTGACTTAGTGTGATGTTTAGGATGCCCTAGAAAATAATATTTATTTAATTTTCAACAATTTTGGCGAGACAGTGACATCGCCAATGCACGTATCAAAATTTAAGTTTTTTTTTTAGTCAAATTTCAAATTGTTCTAAAATGTAACGACATTTGGAATTACGTATATATGATTCTGTAATTAGTTTTTTATCTGTAGGATTCATTGTGTTTTATATACCAGTAACCTTTGTAAAGTGTTCCATTTATAAAACCACACAATAATTTCTTTGATCGTTTAAGCTAGTCGTGAAGAAATTCAAACGATTTTAAAAGAGTTGACCATGAATGTTATGTAACAAAACATATGGGTAACATTTCCGACATATTTTATGAACTAATTGACAGTTATGCATTAACTTTAATTGTTATTTTTTAATATTCTAATGAAAGATGCATGTTTGTAATCCATGGCTAATTGCGAGCTCAATTTTAATATCCACGAACAACATACTCCCGATTTTTTGTTATTTAAATATTTCATTACGAAGACACAGACATAAATAATTTATATGGATTCGTTTTTTGTTTTAATTAGTAAAAAATGTTGTTTATTTTAGAGAACACCGAAGGATAAACAAACTTACGTAAAGAACTTTACGCGTACCAGTTATAAAGGCGGCATTTTTGCTTTGAAGTATATAAACAAAACGTATTTTCTAACTACATAGAGCCACCACACATTTATTTAGGACCTTATCGCTGCCAACGCGATAAATGTATTTTCTCAAGACCGCGTTACTTGCCGTAATTTAGTTACACAAAACATACAACCGACCGGACTTATCATTTAAAACCGGAGAAAATAAAGTCTTTAGAACTTGAAGTAAAGTTCATTCCCGTCTAAGTGATGATGATGTCACTTTTCTGCAATTAGAAATTTTCTTTACTTAATTCATTATTTGGCGAACTCTACTATACCACAAGAAATATAAAAAAAATACAATGACCTACTATTAGTTCACTTTTTTTGTGTATTTTTTAGTTTACTTTTATTTATGCCGTTCTCATGTGACATGATACGGTTTATTAATTGTGTACTTCGATGTTATTTGGTAGCGCAATAAAATATTTAATATTTTTCAGGCTTAGAAGCAGAACTATATTATGTGCGAGATGGGAACATAAACAATTACGCTCTAAATTTCGTAGTACCGGTTCCCGCCAAGATGAATTCGCTACAGTTCACCTGGCAAAGCCTAGCAGACCAACCTGTACGTATCTTCAGCAAAATATATTCTAACCTTACTTATCCACCATTTTAGCTTGTATACTCAATAGACATAGACTCATCTAATTCACCAACATTGCTGCCCCCAAAACTGAATATTACCTCAACTGGTTCGGTACCAACTCATCTTCAAACATTCAGTGTAACCTTGTCATGTTCTGGCACAGCAGCAGGAGAAGTTAATGTTACCATCACCCTCAATATAACTATCTCTCACACTAACGTAACAACTCTTACCTTTCGTCGCAAAAAAATCTGTACTAAAGTCGAAATGCACTCAAACAACCACGTTTTCATAGACACTCTACCCACGGATTCGAACTCTGCGAATATTTTCTATATCGCTATTGCTTCAGCTGTGGTTCTTGTCGTTGTTCTTTCCACCGTCGTGACAATGTATTACATGAAAAATAAAAAGACTGGGGGAAGTACCGAGTGCAATAGTGGTCCCACGACGACATTTTTAACAGCGATTCCGAGGGACACAGTTATTACTTCTTATGGTAGTTTTCGAAGAATGCCGAGCTACTCACTAACAACCGACGAGCGGTCAAAGAATTTGCAAAAAAGAATATCAGAACTTACAGTACAGAGGTACATAGTAGTAACTTGCGTGGTTCTTTTTTCAGCTTTGCGCTTTTTCATCTACTACTTTTCTGAATAAACTTCATATATTTTTCTGGTACTGCAGGTATTTCGATTTTTAGACTCACTGGTGTATTTTTTAGGTGCCGGATTTGCCTAAGCAGTGTCATTTTGGAAGGAACCTTCGCAAGGGTCTACCAAGGTTCATATACCAACGAAGAAGGAATTGACGAGCCCGTTATTATAAAGACTGTAACAGACCATGCCAGTCAAATTCAGATATCTCTGTTACTCCAGGAAGGAATGTCCATGTACTCGTTGAATCATAAAAATATTCTTAGCGTTTTACGCGTGTCCATAGAAGATCACACAGCTCCTTTTCTTCTCTATCCATATCACAATTACAGCAACTTGAAGATCTTTCTTCAGAAATGCAAGTTATCAGCGGAAGGAGTTTCTCATACATTGACCACTCAGGAAGTAGTTGATATGGCGCTCCAAGTAATTCAAGCGATGCAATACTTACACAAAAAACACCTTCTTCATAAAGATCTAGCAGCAAGAAATTGTGTGTAAGGATGTTCACAGATTTCTCTATCTGTATTACAAAAGTGAAAATTTTAGAGTCGATGCTAAGCTCAAAGTTCAAGTGGCTGATAACGCTCTATCGAGAGATCTGTTCCCTTCGGACTACCACTGCTTAGGAGACAACGAAAATCGTCCTATTAAATGGTTAGCCATCGAAAGTTTGATACAAAAGACGTTTTCTACGAGTTCGGATGTTTGGTCGTTCGGGGTACTGCTGTGGGAACTTACCACTCTTGCTCAACAACCGTACATAGAGGTAGATCCGTTCGAAATGGCAGCGTACCTGAAGGATGGGTATCGACTGGCTCAACCAATAAACTGTCCTGATGAACTGTAAGTGACCTCTTGGTTTTGATATTTGATAATGTAATGTTTGGTTGGTTGATAGGTTTGCTGTGATGGCATACTGTTGGGCCATGAGTGCCGAAGAGAGGCCAACATTTACTCAGTTACAAATATGTTTACAAGATTTTTACACACAATTAACTAGATATGTATAAGTATTTTGTCAATGGAAGACTTACACCCGGCTGGGTTGATATATGCCAAACCGGGCCTAGTTGTTACGGGTCCTATAATTTTATGTACTTTTATGTAAATTTATATTAAAAAAAAATATATATATATATTGCAACAAAGTATAATTTGTGGACATTCTACTAAATTTACAAAAATTTTAACCCCTTGTGACAAATGTGCTTAAAAGAGCGCTACTTGTATTGAAAGGACTGTAGCTTTCAGAGAAATCGAATAGTCCCTTAGACCAGTGATGCGTATTTAAGTAGTTTTTTGGTTGGCTAGCGTTGTTTTCCATCTAAAAGTAAATTTTCTGAGTGCCAAGCTACTTTATAGCAAAGACAATTGTGAGAGAGGATGCCAAACTATTATTTTGTTACAAAATAAGTTTTATAGATAATTTAACTTAGAATCTACTTCTAAGTAACTGCGATGCAATAAGGAATCAATTGTAAATGTGAGGACTAGTCAGTATAGATCCCTGACTTACTAACGTGACATTATTCTTCGGTGTGAATAATATATGTATAGATCTGTTCTTACTCAATGTATGTAAAATTATTGTTCCAAAAAGCGATGTTGTCAAATGTGTTATTTTGTTTCGTTCTTTAGTTTTTCATACGAAATTTACTTAAATAGTTTACAATAACAAAGACTTGAGTTCAGAAGGATTAGAAAATTTTGTATAAATTGGAATTATCTGTTGACATTAAGTTGGAGTTGAAATTTTCTTTTTTAAATTATTTATTTCCTTGTCTCAACAAATCACAATACCATTTTCAAAAGTTTTAGTGTTGATTTGTTGAACATAAATTGTTGTTTCTTAGAAATGGTGGTCTTAGATGAAATGTTATGTCAAAGAAGTAGAATAGAGAAATATATATATTTAAAAATGGTACAGGGAACATTTACCTTAAGTCACTCAGTTTCTGTCAATCTATGGGTTAAGAACTAAAGTTTGTCAGAAGTTATTTGCCGCTCTATAAGTTTTTTCTTGTTTTAACTATGGTTCTTCTCTTCATACTCTTACTAACTTTCTGTTAACTAGATTTCTGTCTTTAGCGAAATATTCTATGTAATGACAAAATCTAAATAAATCTATATATGTTTAGTCAGATTACTATTATTCATATTTTTGGTGTGACATAGATTTCTTCCGATGCAGAACATGGAATTAGTAAATTCAAAATCAAAGACGAAGAAGAAGGTAAGTAACTTTTTGAAGCAATTTTGACAACGCACAGCTGTTGACATTACCAAACTGTATTGCTATCCATTATTGATATAATTATCTATCTTCTACTTAATCTTCTTACATATTAAACTGAAACACTGGCTGTTTTGGCCACCACGAACACTCTATAAACCGGAAGATGCCGCCATTTGACACATTCACTGCTAAAAACCGCGTCTTTTAAAATATGCTTTACGAACGTAAACTAACGAACTATTGTAATAGGGTTCAGACGAATGGCTACTTTCATGTTTTTTCGACGTTTCCGTCTGTCGACTATATTTTGCGTAGGCATCTTTTAACAACAAGAAACTTAAACGTGTTTAAAATGGTAAATTGTTGTAAACAAATATGGATTTTGCAATTAAGCTCCGTCCCCGCTTAACGACGAATATAAAAATTCGTCACAATTGAGACAGGGTGGGTGGGCGGGCTTTATATTTTGCCTTTTTTATGATACGAAGTCATTTTTTCACAACAAGAAACTTAAAAATCGTAATTGTGATCGGGGTGGGTGTAGGTGGGTCTAATATTTGCCTTTCTTTTTTAATTAATACACATGATTTTTTATAAACAATACGATTACTTAAGAAATGGTGGTCTTAAGTAGTTTCTTGTAGAGAAATAATGATTTTCAATTAAGCTCCGTCCCGGCTCACGACGAATAAAAAAAATCACCACATTTGAGTGAGGGCGGGTGGGCGGGGTTCATTTTTAACGCCAGGTAATCTCCTAAACCGATTGTCAAATTTTATGTGTTTTAACAATATCGTGTAAATGATAAAAGGCAAAAAAAAGTGTCTAATCATCACTACCGAAGTTGTGTCTACTAAATATTATCCAAATTTTGGAAAAAAACTCGAAATTGTGCAACAACACAAAATCAATATCGGTCTATAATTTGTAACATCGTTTCTAGTAGATATTACTGGTTTAGAACTACGGTTTATTGTTCTGTTTTCTATTATTTTGTAGCGGATTCTACAGACTATCGATTGTTGATCAACTGATGATCTAACTTGCTTGGAGCTAAACTATTACGGTTAACTAAATCAAATAAAGGACTAATCGTGGATTAGATTGGGGAGAAACTTAACAAAAGAAAATGGCCTGTTCTTAGGAGTGATTAAACTAATTATCGTTATTACTATTTACTGGTAGTTTTTCGCCGCATTCTGTTGACGCTTTATCTCGAGAGCAGTTATTATAGAAGTTCTCGAGCTATCCAAGAAATTTTTTTTCCTCTCGCGTTAAATTCGCGACGAGTCGTTTAAGAGAAACGAGGAAAAATACATCTCTCTCGTGAAGCATAAGGTGCCGAGTTACTGAATGTACTGAATTACATCTTGGCATCTTTTATTTGCGTCAATAAGGAAGCTGAGCAGGATTATCGCTTTTGTTCACGTGACCCTATGCGGCAGGAGCTTTTCGAGAGATCTTTTTTAGGAATTTAATGTAGATTTGAAAACGCCAGGAAAGTAAGTTATGTGGATGCAGGTACATGAAAATTACAACAACATGTGAATGTTTTATAACAACTTCATAAATACTGAAGTTGTTTCAACATCGTACCGCCCACACACGTTTTTCAGATTGACAATGATTTTCACATTTGTTTTATCGTAAAGACACTCGGAATGAGAAATGGAGGAAATTTTAGCGCAAAATATCGCTTTATTTATATTAATTTGCATTAACACCACTTTGATTTAGGCGTTTTCAAGCCTCGTTTCGTTAAAATAAGACCGTATTTAATATTTAATGGTATTATTAAAGCGTAATGAGAGCGATCTCTCTGTGTTTGACAGGGAAGATTTTGCCGGCTTTGCGGATATACTTGTTGCAAACACAAAGGAATTTCACGATGAAACGTTTTGGGAAAAAACTCTAAGAGCCTGATCTAGCGGTATTTCGGGCTCAAAAATTTTGTCTTTCACCAATTACGCAAAAGCTTTCGACGGCATCATTTATTGCTGATAGGCTGCCTCCTCCTTTCGAGCTTTCCGTCCTTCTCTACCACGACCGTATTCGTGCAAGATATTCTTTTTTCTATATTCATTCTATCTTCGTCGCTCCGTTGCACAAGCTGCTCCTTTTTACTTCCCAAGCGTAAACTAAGGAAGTATTGTAATAGGGTCCATCCGACGAATGGCTAGTTCATGACCCCTAGAAAACGGCACAATAGGTCGCTCGTTTCCGTCTGCCTGACTGTCGTCTGTCCAATTCAACATTTTCCGCATTAAATATTTACTCCTACACTTGTGGTTTATGAATCCGATTAGAAAAAAATCACGAATTAAAAACATTGCATTTTACAATTTTGTCGTGGGAAATGTCACTTTTGTCGGGAAAATAACAATTGAATTACTCACGTGTTGACGACATTTCGTGTAACTAATTCCCCACGATTGTGGTTTTCCAAATAAATTGTTTCGTTTTTTTTCAAAGCATCCTCATAACACGTGACTGAGCAAAAACATTTTTCAAGTAGAAAATTATATGTCGCCACCGCCTTTTTGCGTGTCTTTGACATGAAAATAAAAGTTTCCAGTTTTTATGATGATTCCTGACAAACTATAATTCATTTAATTTTTTCTGGAGATTTTACTTTTATAAAATAGATAATCTGTTGCTGGCATTTAATTATTTAAGACTCGAGGCAAAACAGAAAACTTAATTATGCAATTATAAGTCAAGAAATACTTTTTTTTTCACCTTGAAACAAGATGAAGGAGACCAACATCTTAAATGTTATGAAATTCTCAATAATTTGCTCCGGAACTGTCACGCTAGGTGTCTTCATGTGAATTAGTTTTAAACAAAAGACAAAGTGAAACAGACGTGTAATCATGCGTTACTATGTGCTGGAACACCTTGTACTTCTTTTCGTCACAAATCTAATTTGTAAGTAATCTTTACTGTTAACCTATCACCTTTACTGGAAATTAACTGTTGTTCACATTTGCAGAGGTACTTTCATATTTGCGATTACTCCATTAACATTAAAATTTTTTGAAATGGTGTAGTTTCGTGCACATCGTTCTCACTCGTTTCAAAAATGACCAAATTTTTCAAAAATCGGTACTAACAACCCATTTCGGTACTCATTTCAATATAAATATTTTCCCCAAAGCAAAATTAGTTCTTTTATCCGGCTTTGGTAACACGGCATTACGTAATATTTTATTAACGTATTTTGAGGGTGGTTTATACTAGGGAGCTTCAACTATTTACTGTAAAAGTGACGTTTTGATGTAAACAGGTTTAAATAATAGAACATCAAAACATGGTTGAGTCATGTCGTGATTAAGCAACAACGGAAGCCGACAAGAAAGGAATTTATTTTCTTAATGTCAAAGATATAAAGCAGCTTTAATATTAACATCACTTTGATATCGGTTTAGTTGACTTTAATACATTTTCCAAGTTGTCAAAAAATCAACCACAACATTGTTGAAATATTTACATTATTGTTGAAACAAGTTGATATTTTTTTCCAGGTAGTGCAATTGAAATCTCTTCAAAGTTGGATTTCGACGGCCCAAAATCCTCGTCGCGATTAATTGAAGGTATAAATAAGCGCAAACCGTTGGTCTACCGAAATCGGGAAAAAGAGAACGATGGCACAAACAATAAAGTTGAAATTATCTGCGCATCTACTGACGGCTGCAATACCACGGAATCGATTAAGACACAGTCCAAGGACTCAATCGAGACAGACGTTGTAGTCCACGTTAAAACAAATGTCGCTATAAATAATAATAAAACTGACAGTTTTGTGGATGATACTCCTGATATTCCAGTCATCGTGGGTAGTTCTGATCCCAACCACAGTCACAACTACAACCAGTACAATCATCCTCTGACAACGACAGAACGGGTTTTATCGATCAATCCGGTAGTACCTGTGTCTTCGGTGCACTATTCGCATCAACCACACACTCCATCGACTCTAACGTCCACAAGTATATACAACCAAAGAAATTACCCGTCTGCAGACCACCACATAAAAATCGGATCTCTAACTTTTGACAACACGGCACGCAGTGGGGTTGACAACACAGCTAATAATGTTGAAATACACGTCCCGTACTTTGAATCGACTTATCACAACCATTATTTTGGGGAAAATCCACCACCGCAAGTTGTATGGTATTCGAAATCTGCAACACCCGGTTATGGGTCCAAGGCCACAATAAAACCCGCGTTCTGGTCTGGACGGGACTTAAACCCGACAACGCAAAAATTCGCAGGCACTAGTAGTACCGGTTGCAGTTGTAAAAATCATGTCAACACAGGACTGCAGTGGTACCCAGCCAGACGGGTCTACAATGTGGATCCAGGCAGACAAATTGATGACAAATTAGCACCACTAGATTAAATCTGGACGTGTGTAAGTTAGATTAGTAATATTAGTAAGAAAATTTAATGTCAATGACAGTAGAATAGCACTTTTTTCAAATAGTTTGATAATAAATTAGTTATAGTCTATATGAACAAATAAACAAATGTTTTGTGTAAAATTGTCAGTTTTGTGGACCAAAGTTCTAACTAATCTAGTAATAAAATTAAGCGAGTTTTGTCTGGATGACCACACCTTGCGAACAGATTATATCTCACGTTAAGGTGATTGCACCCGTTGTAGTTTTTTGTAAGTAAATTAAGTATTTTGTCTAACACGTTTTAACGATTGTGTTTGCATTTTTCACAACAAAGATTGAAACAATAGTTTGCTACATGTTAGTCAAAAAATGTGTTAGGTGCAATTTTTTGTGCAACAATTATAAAAAACATGTGTTGAAACAAAACTTAAAGGCAAATAAAAATGGTTGTAAGTAAAAATCTCGGCTCATCACGACTAGAAATCGTATGTATTGTTATCCCTTCTGGTGCCTCTCAATGTCATTAGTCAAATTAACGAAAGGTAGAAATGTATGGTTGAATCTTAGGCGGTTGCTATGCTGAAACGGACAAAAAATGGCCCTTCATAAGAATCGATAGTGACTATGGAAACACTAACTGCTGCTTTATTTTACAGTATTTTTCAAATCTTTTCAGTGATTTTAAAAGAAGAGGAATCAAACTGTGTCTGTATGGTGCCACTTTTGTAGCAACAGTGATACTAATTTGTAAAAACATTGTTTAAAATTTAACAATAAATTACAAAATTATTTTATTCATTAAAGATTTTTTCGTTTTATAGAGACATTGTTGGATACTTCTCCTTGCAAACTGATTAACTACATTTCAAAAATAGTTTAATACCAACAAGTAATCAGTTTTTTGCGTAGTTCTACAACCATCATTTTACTATCGATTTTTCTGCAGCGCCCGTCGGAGTTATTTCTTGTTCGCTTCAGCGTAGCAACAGCCCAAGAGGAAAATCTTTCCCGCATATATGTGATACAATCTTAAAAGCGTTGATGTGAAGAAATTATCGAAAAGAGTGACGTATGAGTGACGTCATTTCGTCCACTAAAATTGTATAAAATACAAAATAGTGAAAAAAACTTAACATTATTTAAACTGGAATGTCAACAAGTAATAGTAAGTCAAAAGGGTCTGAAATCTGCTAGTAAATACAAGACAAAAGCTAATAGCAATGTGTACTTGTGCTGTATGCTATACGACAATATTGGAACAACAACCACGAAAGCACTGTCTCCATGCTAAAATGGGTAAGGATATTCATGGAAATTTAAACTTATCGTGTCTAATATGGAAATGTATTATTAAACCCAAATACAGTAAACATCGTTCGCTTTAATATTTCGAAAAACCACAGACGTCTCGAAGTACTTGTAAATATCTCGGCCGTCTGTGCAAATTGTGTATTGGATCAGTTTTTGGTTTCTTATTTGCACTGTTATTCTTGAATGTAATGAAAGTTCAGACAAATCCTCCGTTTGCACAGATGTGCCTCAAAATACATAACACTGCTGGAAAGTAAAAAGTAAAAAAATATACGAAAGGTCCACGTTTTGATGACTCGTTCGTTGTATTCGTGCAGCCCGTTGAGGAAATAACACCGCGAGGTATTCCATTTATTGCTTTTTTTGTTTGCTTAGGACACACCAACGGCAACGATACGACAGAATTGAGAATTTATTTTGAATGCGAGGGACATGTTATCAACAATTTGTTGTAACTGCGGTGGCGTTTAATTAAAATAAAATGAACTAACTATAATTCAAACCACTTTAATGAATACTCTATGTCACAATGAATATTAATATGTTTTTATCCAACTAACAAATTTACGGATTTTTTACTTCGTATGTTGTGACTTTACCATTGTCGTTAATCGTGGTTGTAGCTCTATGAAAATTATGAACTTTACCGTCGAGATTGCTTGACGAGCTGACGCTTGAAGTGAAAACTCCGTAATTTCCTTGACCTGTGGGTCCTCCTTCACCGGCTCCTCCGAATCTTGTGAAAATATTGGGTGCGTTCTGTGTGGTAAAGTGTTTTATTCAATCAACTGTTAAATAATAGTCCATGATTACGTACCGGATTTTCTGGATATACGGCTGCTCCTTGATAGCCTCCTTGTGGTCCAAGAGCAGCAGAGGCAACTGCAGCACCCCCGTTTCCTCCTTTACCATCATTAGATGCACCGTAGGCTGAAAATCCTGGGGCATACCCAGGATTTTGTCCACCTGCTTGCTCTACTTGCTGCTGCAGACTGTTTCAACACGTATAGATACTGTACTTGTTGCAACGCGAATTAGTCCAAAACGCCCAAATTAGTACTCAGATTAGTAAAAATTCTTTAGTTAGAGATTAGTAACAATATAATATTAGAGCAAAAATTTTCTCATTTACATACTGTGTCGTGTTTAGGTTTTGACCCTATCCCCTACGTTGCATGCTATGTGTGTACCATTTTGACCTAGTGTTACTACAATATAGGTTTAAACCACCTACCGACTTTTGCGGGTGGGTAGAAATTTAATTGAAGACGAAGCTTGAACTCTAGAAGAAGAAGAGGGAGAAAGAGAAGATGAAGTAAGAGCAAAAGAGTGTGGGACTCTGCTGCGAAAATATTGCACTAAAACAAACCCACGGCGCAGATATTCAAAGAGTTTCAACATACGTTTTAAGGAAATGCTCATGATACTTTCTAAATGAATCAAAATAACCGTTTAGAAGGCCCCCAAATTCCTGGAAGTTTGGAATAGGCGGCTGTGGAATATTGCCTCCATTTCCCGAATAGCTACCAGAGAATCCATAACCATATCCGTTACCAACTTCGTTCGAATTACTTCCTACAACAAAAGGATTTTAAAAAAATTTATTTGTGAAAAACGTGGGAAGGTAATGATGGTTCGTTTACAATAAAATTTATTATGCTAATTGTACAATAATGACCTTGGAAGTATGCGCATATTCTATGGCTGCATAACAATTGGTGATCATATGCATCCACAAAAAGTAATTTGAAACCTGATTTGTGTGTTTTTTGTTTCCACATCCGTGTCGTGTCGCAAGTTTTAACGAATAATAATTATTATTAATAATAATAATAATAACAATAGTCTAACAGCGCCATCTTGGAAGAGCAACTAAGTAACAGTTGATCCTTACGATAGTTGCACTTAATGTAGGCTGCATTTGCATTAAATCTGTTATTAAGGTCAACGAGACACGAACAATGTCGAGAGAGAGTTGCCAAATACACATATACGAAATTCATACAGCTCAAATCTTTCATTTAGAAATATTGTAAATATTTAAATGAAATGACTTAAATAAAAAATTTCATTAAGTTTCAAGCGTAATAAAAGCGCTTCCCTTACTGCGTACACGCCCCTGTGTAAACATATTTTGTAATTAAGTGAAATGCGATAAACAGGTGTCTTTTGTGCGCATATTTTATTGACAAACACCGCTTCCTATATAATATTACTCAGAGAGAAATATTTTCAACAATTTACAATGACAGATAAAATTCTTTTAATGTTTTGAAACAGACAAACTTAAACTTTCGTAAATTATAAATAATAATCATTGAAAAATAGATAGATGTGAAGGATAGTGTAGCAAGTAATGTAGAATAGGGTGACATAAACATGATACTGAATAAGGGTACCGTTGCTCATTATCGCTTATTATGACTCCAATAGTTTCTTTAATGGGATTAGGACAAGGTTCAAAATAAATTTGCTTTCTTGGGTGACGTTTCACATTATTCCTTCTTCAAGGCTGCTCAAATTTATAACGCACTCATAATTGGCTAAATTTATTGCAGTTTTTAAATTCGGTAATGGTGTTTGAACATTCGTCATGCAGTGATAGGTGGACCTCCAAGATTTTAGCCAATCGTGACCTGGATGTATAGAAATTAATACTTATCAGGTTAATTAGGCGGCGACGGTAGAAATTCGAGAAAAATAACACCGAGCAAGGAAAAATGATCCTATTATAGTACTCTTTAGTTTACACCTGGGAAATAAAAATCCCTTATAAGGGCTAGCAGTTTTTCCACCAATCGTATACTAGTATGTTGCGTATTTAAGTAAAATTGACAGTCGAAATTACATAAAAATGGTAAAATAGTGACTTAGTGACTACGTGGAAACTCGATTACTTATTTATGTTAAGTAATTTTTTAAATCTGTTTAATAATATGTAAAGGAGAAGGGTCAAACGAAGTTTATATAGGAATAATTTTTTTTTTACGAAGAAAATAACTTTGTAATTTGGTGTTAAATTATGACAACTATTTTGACACAATTAGTCACTGTTTTTAAAAAACAACAGCTTGATTATTTTTCTTTAACTTTTTGAGCTGAAGTCCAAACAGATTTTTTGGTTTATAATTAATTGAAAACAGTTGTTTGTGGCTTGTCACTCTAGACATCTAAATAGTAAAACCACGTTACTACAAATCGTGACGTCAAAATTCTGCGGTTTCGTATTAAAACGTAGAAAAACAAGCTGAATATTTTTCCATATGATATTAAAATATTGTCACGGTTTCTGTGGGCGCAGTATATAACGTGTCTTATAATGAATTACGCTTTATTTACCTGCATATCCTGCGAAAGTTGCCTCCAGGGTCGTCAAAAGTACTAGCGTAGCAACCAACATGATGATGCACAAAGATGATGATTAACTAACAAGGTTTTGAATCTTCAAAACAATTCGTCCTCTTTATTTACTTTATGGCAGGTAAACTCTCGTTGGCGAACTAAACCGAACAGTTACGATTTAAACAAATTTTATAATAATCATATGTTAGTATAAGGTGAGTAATATCCGCTTATATGGCAAAATCAACATTTCGTTACAGCGCCAAGATGCACTGCGGGTTTTTTTTTATAAAAATATATTGCAACTGATAAAACTCTGATGCAGTAAAGGTTATCGACATGTCAAGTTTAACTTATCATGTCTTTGAAATTACGTAAAAAGCGCCTTGAAAGTTGTACACCCGTGAAAGTAATAATGCACCCTTGATCAAGCCTGAACTGAATTTTTGATAAGTTTTTTATCAGCGTGTTTACTTCATTGTAAAAGTAATCTTTTTTGACGAAAAATCGAAAAAATATGTCTGCTCTAATAACGTCCAAATAATTTGGCTTTTAGAGTGTCACCTGTAGATTAGATATAATAAAAGAGTTTGCGACCAATGAACTATATACTATCTGTTCATTAAAATGTCGTTAAAAGAACATTTTAAGAAGTATAAATAAAAAACTGAAGCATTGTACTAACCACTATTTTCCAAACATGTTGGTTTTGGTGTTAGCAACCATACTTTTAGCCGAAGGGATACTAGGTGAGGTGCAATTTGTCACTTACTAATTAAAATTCAAGCAAATTAGATAAATATATTGCGGCCAATTACGTCATTGCCCTAATACATCGTTCAAATATTTATATTAATTGTGTTATTTTAGGTAATCCTAACACCTTTGATGTATCTCGTGAGGGAAAAACGTTCGATACTTTTCGGGAATCAAGCTGGAATCCAGTGAATTGGTTTGGTCAAGATTCAAGTGAAGATAAAAGCGAAAAACAACTGATGGCCCTGTATAACACCATTGAATGTTTAACAAAGAAGGAGCCAAAAGAGTGCGTCAAACTCGTAGATGACGCAAAAATATACTTCGAAAAGGACGAGAATAAGAAAAAAAATAAAAAACCCATGGCTGCCAATAACAGCACGTCGCAATAAATTTTCGTGTTGTAATATGTCTTAATACACGTTTGTATTCTCACGTAAAGGATTTCTGTGTTTATAATTGCTGTATTATTTCAATAAACTCACACTTTTTACTAATTAGTGTCTAGGCGTACACGTTTACAAAACAAATATCTTTATATATACACAATAAAGTCGAAAGTCAAGGTGAAATGATCTCAGCGTATTTTCCACTGAATTTATAAATAAGAAATTTCTAAAGATCTTCACTTTATTAATACGGAATAATGAAATAATAACGTAGTAGTGTAAGTAACCCCAACAACACCTGAGGCACAAGATAAATTGTAAAAAAAACCTGAGGTTTTTAATTAATGTTTTTTCATTTTTTTTTTTGTGAAGCGGAAAACATACAACATGCTCGTTCCAACTGATGAATGCGGATAATTAACAATAAGCACGTTTCATAACAAATTAGTTCCATAAAATAATCAATCGTTTGTTTTAAATACGACTAAAGATAATTATCTGAAATAGTTTCAATATGTTGTGTTATTTCTTCAGTAAATCCATATTTTGTTCATAATTCAGACAAAGACGTTTATTAATGTCACGCAATCTGTTTTATTTTGATGGTTAATAAAATAGGTACAACATGTTACCAAAGTTTGGAAACAACGATCCAAGTTCATATTTATAAAGTTTAAGTTTAAATTTTTTAAAATGAGTTGATTTTAAATTTCTGTTGAAAGTTATAAAGTGACACTCTATAATAGCAGTGAACATAGAAAAGTAAGAAAAGTGAAAGTTGTGTCATTTTATTAAGAATTATAAATAAGTAATTCTCGTGGCAGTTCTTTATACATATTTATATATTACACGCGGTGAGGTTGATGACGTCATTTTCGAAACTTATTAGTGAACGTTGATAATTACTGAAATTGTTATACTAAAAACGTTTTTTTTACACGATTCCATACTTTTGAAACACCTTGTGTAATTTACACAATTAAGTTGCCTTTAATGCCTGAATAAATAATTCATTGTGGATAATCGTTATTGATTTGGAAAAGCTGCAACAACCTAAATATAATAATATTATTTTGACAGTACCTTGTCATGGCGGGTGACACAGTTGCTAGTGCTTTAAAATACACTTGGTATTTATCTAATTTTTTTATGTTGTGTCCTAGATCACCTGATGAAAAAATTGTTCGTTCCGAAAGGACTTTTGTTCAAAAAGTTTTCGTCTACATTTATAACGTAGTCGCAGTTTCTGTTACAGTTTACATGGTGTATATGACAGTTGGTGTTTATAGAATTAACATAAAACTAAATATAGTCGCACAACTTGCTGATCTCCTTTATAATTTGACTAATAACGTATCTGCATTAACTTCAGTGTTCTGTTGTCTGTATTATCAAAACACAATCACCGAAGTCGTGTTCAAATTACACACAATAGACAAAAAGTTAAGGCAGTTGCGGCTGTGGAAATCCTACAAAAATATCCGCATTTTTGTGGTCTGTGAATTCCTGTTTATAATTTTTCTTTGGACTTCATTCTTTATCGCGTTTATGTTACATTGCGTTAACACATTTTGGAAATGTTTTTACCGTTGGACGATTTTATACACAACTAGTAAAATGTCGCAAGTGATGTTGTTGCAATTTTTCGGATTTGTTCTTGTTTTGACACACAAGCTTGACACACTTAACCTCAATTTAAAACTGATGTCTAAAGAACAGAAGCGTAAATATAACATCGATTCTACGAAAATTCTGAAGCTTGTAGAACGAATTATTAATGACATATGTGTTACTTATAACGATATTCAAACAATTTTTTCACTGCCTCTGTTAATGAAAATATCGAGCCAGTTTGTTGTTATTTTCTGTTGCTTGTATTTTTGTATCTTTGGGTATATTTATGAAGATCATACTGGAATGTCTACATCGGCGTACGATGTTTTTATCCCTCTCATATCCGTGGTTATAAATTTAATTGAAATATTAACTACTGTAATTTTATGTGAATTAATTCTACTGGAATATAGTCGCACTAAAAAGTTATTGTACAGGATCCCGGCCACAGAAACCAATTTTATGTTCATTAAAAGAGTACGAAGATATCGATTTCTGGGTGAGCGTTTTACTGTATTTACTTTATTTTAGGTAAATTTACTGTCTCTGCAGCTTATACATAAAAAAATTCAGTTCAACGCAAGTGGATTTTTCACGATTGATGGGTCCCTTTTGCACACGGTAAGTTCTAAGTACACCCATATTTTTCAACTCCCAGTTCTTTTCTATGCTATGTTCATGTGACAAACACGTGCTATCAAATATGAGTCAAAAATTTACTGAATGTTTATTAAATTAATTGTATTACATAATTTATATTTATTATTTGTTTAAACTGTGCAAAACTCTCTATTAACACGAAAACTGTTTGCAATTTTGAGATTTTTTTGTTAATTTTAAACAAAAAAAAATTCTGTCGTATACTTAACACTTAACACAGTTTTCTTTTTTAGATTGTGGGAGCTGTTACAGTTTACTTTGTAATGATTATACAGTTTGATATAGCTACAAAATAGACTTAAGTACCTAAATTTTTGTTAAAATGTTTGCAATACTTCTTGGTATATTCTCTAGATGTATCCATAAGATCGATTTATAAACTTGTCGCTGACGTTGCTGTTCGCCGTTGACGTTACCGTTGTAAGCTAAATACGCAGCGAAGGTATGCGTCGTTTATATCATCCGTTGATGTTGCCGTTGAAAGTTGGCACGCCGTTGAGGTGACGTTCGAGATGACCAACTTCTAACTTTTGTCGTTACGTTGAGTTAAAACTTGTTTAAAATGGTAAATTTTTGTAGGAAATTATCGATTTGCAATTAGGCTCCACCTCTCGGTTTGACAACGAATGAAAAATTGTGATGAATTAAATCATCCAAATATGGAAATATTTAGAAATTTTCAAAAATGTTGCTCCGTGACCATCAACACCCTATATTTTTGGAATCAGCATGTAAAGATCTACGTCCCTGAATTTTTCCAGAATTTTTAGACAACTTTTTTCAAAGTGAAATTTTCCAATGGTCCCCCCTTCTTCAAATTTCGGCCAAATTTTGACATTTTCGAAATTTAAATGAATATATTTTCTTGTAGATTTCGAGGTCTAGAACTCACTTCCAGTGTCGTTTCTTTGATAACTGCAACCGTTTTTCCGGAATCGACCGTCGAAATATCGATATTATTAGAAATCTTCAAAAATTCGCATTTCACGCCGATAATTTCGAAAATGTTGCTCCGTCACCATCAACACCCTATATTTTTGGAATCAGCATGTAAAGATCTACGTCCCTGAATTTTTTCAGAATTTTTAGACAACTTTTTTAAAAGTGAAATTTTTCCAATGGTCCCCCCTTCTTCAAATTTCGGCCAAATTTTGACTTTTTGGAAACTTAACTAAACACATTTTCTTGTAGATTTCGAGCTCTAGAACTCACTTCCGGCATAGTTTCTTTGATTAGTGCAACGGTTTTTCCAGAATCGACCTTTGAAAAATCGAAATTTTTAGAAATTCTCAAAAATTCACATTTCATATCGATTGTTTCGAAAATGTTGCCCCGTGACCATCAACACATTATATTTTTAGAATCAGCACGTCGAGATCTACGTCCTTGAATTTTTTCAGAATTTTCAGACAACTTTTTTAAAACTGAAATTTTTCCAATGGTCCCCCCTTCTTCAAATTTCGGCCAGATTTTGACATTTTCGATATTTAACTAAATACATTTTCTTGTAGATTTCGAGGTCTAGAACTCACTTCCGGTCTCGTTTCTTTGATAACTGCGACCGTTTTCCGGAATCGTCCGTCGAAATATTGATATTTTTAGAAATCTTCAAAAATTCGCATTTCACGCCGATTCTTTCGAAAATGTTACTCCGTGACCATCAACAGCCTATATTTTTGGAATCAACATGTCAAGATCTACGTCCCTGAATTTTTTCAGAATTTTCAGACAACTTTTTTAAAACTGAAATTTTTCCAATGGTCCCCCCTTCTTCAAATTTCGGCCAGATTTTGACATTTTCGATATTTAACTAAATACATTTTCTTGTAGATTTCGAGGTCTAGAACTCACTTCCGGTCTCGTTTCTTTGATAACTGCGACCGTTTTCCGGAATCGTCCGTCGAAATATTGATATTTTTAGAAATTTTCAAAAATTTACATTTCACGCCGATTCTTTCGAAAATGTTGCTCCGTGACCATCGACAGCCTATATTTTTGGAATCAGCATGTCGAGATCTACGTCCCTGAATTTTTTCAGAATTTTTAGACAACTTTTTTAAAACTGAAATTTTTCACCTTCAAATTTCGGCCAAATTTTGACATTTTCCAAACTTAACTGAACACATTTTCTTGTAGATTTCAAACTTTAGAACTCACTTCGGGCCTCGTTTCTTTGGTAACTGCAACCGATTTCCGGAATCGACCGTCCAAATATCGAAATTTTTAGAAATTTTCAAAAATTCGCATTTCGCGCCGACTCTTTCGAAAATATTGCTCCGTGACCATCAACACCCTATATTTTTGGAATCAGCATATCGAGATCTACGTCCCCGAATTATTTCAGAATTTTTAGACAATTTTTTTAAAACTGAAATTTTTCCAATAATAAGGATTTTGCAATTAAATTCCGTTCCTTTGGCTCTCGACGATTAAAAAAATCATCCCAATTGAGACAGGGTGGGTGGGCGGGGCTTATATTTTGCGTTTTTTCTTAATATGTGTAGACTTATTTCGGCCACAAGAAACTTAAAACATGTCTAAAATGGTAAATTCTTCTAGACAAATATGGATCTTGCAATTAAGCCCCGCCCTTCGATCTGACAACGAATGAAAAATTCATCACAATTGAGAGTTGAGATCGGGGCGGGTATGGATGGAATCTAATCTTTAGCTTCACTTTTTTCTTAATATACGTAGTATTCTTTGAACAACACGATACTCAAAAACATGTTTTTAAAATTCCTCGTAGAGAAATACGGATTTTGCAGTTAAACTCCGCCCTCTTGGCTCACGACGAATAAAAAAATCATCCCAATTGAGACAGGGTGGGTGGGCGGGGCTTATATTTTGCCGTTTTTTCTTAAAATGTGTAGACTTATTTCGACAACAAGAAACTTAAAACATGTCTAAAATGGTAAATTCTTCTAGACAAATATGGATTTTGTAATCAAGCCCCGCCCTTCGATCTGACAACGAATGAAAAATTCATCACAATTGAGAGTTGAGATCGGGGCGGGTACGGATGGAATCTAATTTTTAGCTTTACTTTTTTCTTAATATACCTAGTATTCTTTGAACAACACGATACTCAAAAACATGTTTTTAAAATTTCTCGTAGAGAAATACGGATTTTGCAGTTAAACTCCGCCCTCTTGGCTCACGACGAATAAAAAAATCATCCCAATTGAGACAGGGTGGGTGGGCGGGGCTTATATTTTGCCTTTTTTTTTTAATATGTGTAGACTTATTTCGACAACAAGAAACTCGAAACGTGTCTAAAATGGTAAATTTTTGTAGTAATCAACTTAAATCCTCCACTTTTCTTCTACAACCGCTTTAAATACGGCAAAAGTTGAACAGTAAAGTTACTATCAACGGCCACTTCAACGTCAACAGCAAGTTTATAAATCTCACTATATTGTAACGGGCGATAAATTACTTATTTTTGAAGATGTCAATATGAGACAATCGTCATCAAAGTTGTGCTTTCACAGTTTCATAGTTTAAATTTATTAATATGAACTAAAAGCACCTTTTCCCACTAAAAATATTCATGTTAAAGTTAATTAAGCACAACACAAATATTTTTATGACGTTCCAAATAGACTGGTAACTGATAAATAATTTTGTAAAAACATCTCTTTTGACCAAAGAATCTCCGAAATGTGGAGGATTTCACAAATTCTTGAATTGAAAGATAAATTTAAAAATCTCCCAAGCCCGTTTCAATATATCTTAGTAAGTAGCATGACAATCAATATGTAATTATAATAATTTTAAATGAAAACCACACTTGTTACATGTTATTATATCTATGAACTGTTTATATTAATAAAATATGAAATCTACGTACTTATATTTTATTTTCAAACTGTCTTAAAACCTATGGAAAATCAGTAGGGGAAATGTCTAGTGACTTAAGTGCCAAAGTAGTATTCTAATTTTACAATTTATGTATGCCATCTATAAATCCATGATCGAACTAGAAGGTAAATTGCATCATAGAAAATATGGTTTGGAAATGAGATATGTAAAATTTGACCTAAAAAAACAGATACGAAGGTTGAAAATTTCTTAATTAAATATTGAATAAGTGGTGATTTGATTTTTAAATTTTTGTACCAAAATATCTGCTTGTCTTAAAATTGTTGATACTTGATGCTATGGAAGCTCTACTTCATTTGAAGAAGAATAAAAGACAAGAAACACTTCGATTACAGAAAGGGTTGTAAAAGAAATATTTTAAAGTAAATGATAACGATCATGTATTTAAGAAATCACCCAGTAGTGTCTAGTAAAATAAAAGTTTTGAGAACTCCGTGTACACCTATGAGATTTGTAGTAAACAGAGGCCTCGTTTTATCTTTTTTGTTGATGTTATTTTACAAACACCCTGGGAGGTAAAATGAATTTAGAGATATAAACATAAACAGCTAATCTCCACAAAATTCAATTTTCTCAAAAGTCTGAGTGACATTATTTAGCATATCCGAGGATTTGTAAAAAGTGTGCCGTCTCCAGACACCTTGCTTGAGTCATCCGAATCAGCTTAATTAAAATACTCGTTATTAAAATTGTTTTTATTTTCAAACAACATCCTTAATACAAAGCTTGTCTCTATTAAAACCTTATTAATCCAAGTAAATACAGCATTTAAAGCGAGAAATTGGGAAGGATTATACTCTGTATAATTCATACTTTGAGGTTTAATTTTAATAAACTGTTTCATTATATCATCAATTATTAGCTTTGTTAGAGTCCTCATTACGTTATGTTCTCGAAAAGGGAGGATAATCCTTTGACGCACGAACACTGCATTATTTTGTTGACTGACATGCTTTGCTTTACAGAAAACGATTTTAATTAACTTGCACGTTAAAGCAACTCGATGGAAATGCTGCCTAATCTAGATGTGCTGAAATTAGAGTCTCCTATGAGTTCAGTTGCTTCTGTACTGTAACAAACGTTGTCAAAAAGGCTGGTCGGTGTAAATTAAGTTCGCAGGAACAGAAGATATAATTTTGCATCCAGCCTATTACACACTTTGCAGTACACACGACTTTAGATCAATATAGCTGGATGTGAAACTTGGTCACAGAGTAACTTGAAACTTATTTATGAAGTTTGTTTGTTGTATTTTGTATGTAAACAGTTCGACATTAGCAGTAGCACTACCTACAGACAAAGAACCAAAGAATACAATAAAATAACATTTCGTGCTCAATGCTCCAGGGAATGGCAGTCTTTGAAATGAGATATATGCTTCTGACCAAATGTCAAACAACCACAGAATCAAAAAGAAAAATAACAAAAATATCTTAATTATTAAACATGTCCATTTTTACAAAATTACGTATTATGTTTCTAGTTGTATTAAAATCCGTTTGATCTCCCTGTTTTCGAAATGTTCAAAAGGCCGTCCTAAGTTTAAATTATTTCTATTTATTTAATAATTAACCAACGGACAGTTAGGTCCAGCTTTGAAGATAAATGTAATTTGACAGCATAATATTACACATCTTAGTCCACAAAGAGATTGCATAACTAATTAAGTCGTTTACATAGAATGTTCAAGTTTACTCAGTTTTTTTGAAATGACGTCATCAGTTTTGTGGCGGAAACCAAAAAATCATACAAAATTTTGTGGAAAATGTCGACCGACCTGAGATCATTCATCTTCTTGGAACGTTCTAAGTAAACATTTTTAACTAAAAAAACGTGTTTCTGAAGCAAAAAGAATACCACAAGTCGGACGTATTTTCGATAGATTTATTCAACAAGTTGTTGATGATGACATCACCAGTTTTCTGGAATTTGAGTACATCGTAGTTTCTAAATCAGGATTTGTATGTTATGAGATTTTTTTAGGAGAAACTGTACACCAATGTAGTACTGAAAGAGGTGTACTCTTGACCAAGAATAATTGAAACTTGTGTTTTAATAAGACACACTTACGGTTTGGCATGGAATTGAGATACTAGCCAACCCTTTTCAAAAAATATTGTTAACTGAATCATGTTATAATATAGCTACTAATTAATGTAGAGTTGAGAAGATTCCACGTAATTTTCTTTTAAACCGCACCGCGCACATCAATCAATATATTTCACCATTAACCTTGAGTCATGGGTCACGATGGCTACCTTTGACCCTATCCGAGTTACCGTTTCCAGAAAAAGGAATTTAAAAAATATGAACAAAATGTTCGCCAACTATCATTATAAACGTCAAATTTTCATTCCATTGTGAAAATGACTGTGACGTAAATGAAATTATGCATTCCGCCACATGTGCAACGTATTTGATTTTAAATATTCACACGTGTAACACTGTCACACACGTGCATAATTTTGTTATCCCTCGACTCTAGTTGCATTACTACATGTCACATACAATACTGATCCTAATTTAGACAACCAAACATACAATGCACACATGGAATATTTTCCGGTCACTAGATGAGTCGCACAATCAACAAAATAAAGTCAAGTGAAACCCCAGAAGACTATTTTTAAACGAACATACTCACAGTTGGCCAAAATCATTCTTTTTAACTTTGTCCAGACAAATTTTATTTATGAATTCTCTCGATAATTAATTGTAAAGTCGATCGATCAAAATCCATACATCTGTCAAAAGTAAGTTTGTTATTTAAGTTTTAAGTCTAGATTTCGTTAGAAACGGCGAGCAGCGATCGAATTTAAACCCTGGACACTTGCGCAACGTTTGAATTTCACCGGCTTTTACAAAAAGAGCCCTCAAAAGGGAGTTCGACAGAGTGTCCTCGTCTTGATCTCCAACTAAACTGTTTTTCAGCAAAAAACAAATGTTCAATTTCTTCCAAATCCGAGACAATAAATTGAGTCTGTGTATCTTGGCATCACGATATTGAACGATTGGTCTAAAAAAGTTGTTTAGTCGGTCAAAACAACGCTAAATGGTAATTTTACAAAGAGATGTTTGATATTTCGGGACCTACTAGAGTTTTTGTAATGTTGAAACTGACAGTTCGAAATTATATGTGGAGATAGTTTTTTTGTACATGGTTGCATCATTATAACTTTGTCTAGGTAGATTGTGCTGGGGTTGAGACCTTATTTACCAACCCGCATTCGTAGCAGTAATTAATTTAGTAAATTTGTGGATAACCCTATTTCATGCAAGTGCGTCGCTTCTGAATATTGTTAATTGTATAAAGGACTTTTATTAAGAAAAGCGTCTTATTGTTTAGTGTACGTCGTCAATGCCAGAGTTTTCCACACCACATAATTAAAAGTGGGAAAAACGTGTTTCGATTAAGTGCAACTTCAGTAGTTATATAAACATTAAACGATTGTTACATAACGTATATGACTTTGTATATAGTTATTCTACATGGTTCCTGGAATATTAAACTAAAACTAATGACTGACATTATCTTACAGATAACTTTAGTCATCATGAAACTCTCACGTTCAAACCTTCAACAGCAAGTTCTAGTCGATTTGTTACACTGAACTTATGCGATAGTTTATAGGGTCTGGTAAACACAAAAATATCGTTAATTGTTGTTTCGTACGACAGATCACAAATAATTGTTTTTGAATTGGCTCAATTTTTAAAAATCGGACACATCCTTTATCGATTGTAATAACTAAAGAATGTTATTGTAAATTCTTAAAATTTCCTATTAGTCACTCCAACCGCAAGTTTGTGGCAACACGTTTCTTTTATATCACGAAATTTGATCTTTTTACTACAAATTTTGCAAAAAATGTCTTGGAGATAAAATAACCGGGGAGACTTATGACTAATGCAGTAGGTTACGACGACACAAACAATTACTTTCACTTCATCCTAAGCTTTTTTGTACTTTCGGTTAAATACTTCGATGAATTTGTAAAAGAACAAGTACATGCATAGTTCATGGTATTTTGCCTTGAAACATCGTGCTAAATCTACCTCCGGTTAGGTCATTCATAATCAGAGTCAAGGTGCCCCTCGTCATCGCAGCATTATTGTTAAATATCAAAATTGTTGAGCAAGTTGCACTGATAAAACGAGGAAATTTTACTTATTTCCGATGTCTGATTCATGGCTTACAATCGCAAAAGAAATATGTTATTCAGGATTCAATTATTTGAAATATGTAGTTGAAGAGGGCTGATAGTTACTAATTATTAAGTTGGCTGTGAAATTGCGCTTTGTTCTGATGGTGGACCTGACTAGTTACACATTTATTAAATGACAAATTTATGCAACATGGACAATGTTGCAAACACTAGGTGGCACTCTGGTATCAAAAAAAAAAGATTATAATTATGATTGTGGAAGAAATTCTTATCGCTAAATCAACATTTTGCAAGGTGATTTCCAACTAGACGGGTTATTGAATTGTGATTAAGTATGTAAATACTGATATAAATTCCAAATTGTCCAAAATTTTCTGTAGAATCATTTCTGAGTAGTCACAAGGTATATATTTGTACTGCAACTACAATGACTGATGATCACTGAATGACATCCACGGTTATTAATGAAATATTGAACTTTGTTGACGTACGTTTTTTGTAAAAGGAGACAATTTTATCGCGATTGATATAAGTACACCTGTACGATTTTTTGTGCCTGAGTCATTTTATTAAATAAATAGTTTAGTCATTGTCGGAACTCCTTATTAAGAATAAGCGTTCCTAAATCAGTCAAGTGGAGGTCTAAATTTCTGTTGGGTTCGTGTTTTTCTTTTCTTCTTCATGTCCGCCGCGACTATTATGAGGCGAAGTCTGTATTGATTAAGTTTCTACCTGATGCAAAAATATATTGCAGGAACAGGAAATTCAGGATTAAGCTCCAAGTAGATTCGCACGTTAAACAAGATGAAGGCATATAAAAGGTATTCTTCGAGTCAATGGCCAGTCATTCAGTGTATCTCCGTGTGGCTGCTCGTTCTTCAATACAAGCTGTTAAAATGTTCTCCCGGATATTGGAGATCTTAGCTGTCTGTCTCGTCATTGTTTATACAGTTGGTACGTTATTCGAAAACCATTATATCATTAAAGTCACAAGCCGTAATAATTGCAGAATCAACCCCAGCCGTTAACAAATTAGCACGACAATTTATTCCGGCTTTGCCGGGATTCGTTCCCGTCTATATCCGATCCGGTGACACTCCTCTGGAAGACATTAACCCAGATCTAGCCGAAGCTTTCAATAGTTACGCTCAAAAGCATGCGTGGCTTGATAACTTTGGTCGAGCTAAAGCCGTTCGCGACGACGGCAAACTACACGTTCACATCGACGACTCTCCCGGAGACATAGATGAAAATATTGTTAACACTAAACCTGCTGTCTTGTCGAAATCGCACCACATACAAAAAATTCCTAGGTCTTAGATATGTGAATACTTTATTAATTTATTGTGTAGGTGTATATGTAAAAAATAAAAATGTGTTGAACATATAGTAGTACTACATAGACACCTTGCGTTACATCACGATACCTGTGTAAATATTGATCCTAAAATAATGAACGTTTTATCTTATCATATCAGATTGAATCATATTGGTGTCTCAAGCTTCCTTTAGTACAGCAGGTTAATTTCTCTTAGTTCATAGCATTTTGTTTTTTGTAGTTTCAAGTTCTACATAGTTACCCTAAGCTTAGCATCGACCCTGCGGTAAGTACTAAATTCAATTTTACTAAACTCAGGTAATGTTAGAAACTAAATTACACGTTTCACAGTACACGTATAATTAAAATATTTATCTACTATTAGGTTTATTTGTTCCATAAAGGATGAATCATGCTGTTTTCCAGTTAACACGCCCTGTTCTAGACACATTTAACGTTTTTTAAAAGGAAGTCAATTCAAGCTATTACTAAACCATTGCGTTGAATCGTTCTATTCTAATCTGCGTGGAATTTGGGTCATAAATAGTTAGAACTAGGTTACTACTACTTTAGCTCAACGAGGAAATTACTTAAAGTCTGCTAAAACACAAACACATTGCTCTATTTTTTTAGTACACAATGGCAAACACTCCCTTTTTACCCAAATTAAACTTACACACACATTTTGTCGTTCTAAAACTAATTATAAACATTTTAAACCAATCAAGAATAGATTTGTATTCAGTTAGACCGATTTCCTTCTCAGCAGTTAAACAACAATGAATTTGCAATGAAAGCAAATTTTTTCCATAAGTGTTTTTCTTGTAATATTTAAAAGTACAAGATAAGTTCAAAAATAAGATTAGATATATTTGAGAGTTGGTAAAATTGTGTATCCACATAATAAGAAAAAGTTTTATTTTCATTCCAAAATAATGCTATAGTAATACTAGTTGCTAATACTGTTTGTACAGGCATCCAGGAAGTCAATCGAACATTGCTATCTTAAAATGTTATGTTGCTTTAAATCCGGTCGGTTTTCCAAATACCAACACTAAGAGGTGTGTACGTACATAAATTAATATTTTATTTTACAGGTTATCCTAATTATCCTGTAAAAAACTACTCGGTTTTACTTCTAGAATTCTAGATAATGAGTAGTTTCATGTTCTCTCTACGTCTAAAGGTTCCTGGAAAATGAAAAAGTAGGCCCTCTTTTCCATCTCGTTGTTTGTGTGTCGTTTGTCGCCTGCCGTCTGTTGGCAGATGATATCCGAAACTACTGGATTGACTGATCTGAAATTTTAGATCCAGTTTAAGAATATCGTGTACATGGTAAAATTTAATCACGTCATCTCAGTTTTTGTAAATAAACCCTACTTAAAATATGAAGAATGATTATTAATTAATTAATTCACCCCTGTTTTTAATTTTGTGCACATAGATTTTCGGAAAAAATTCAAACCTGAGCATGTTAAATCGACTATCAGCATTCATTTATTCACTCATGATGATGTAAACCACATTTAAAATTTATAGGATGACATATTCTATATATGTGGTTTAATAGCACATCCGTGTTATCCTAAAAAAATATAACACAGACAACGTTTTCACAACCACATTTTAAAATTTGTCCTAGAATCTACGACACGATTTTTTTAATGTCGGTAAAATACTAATTTAATGGTTACAGTATAGCGATTAAAATTTATTGATTCATCCTTCTCCCCTTAAACAAATATTTGCTAGAAAAAGTGTTTCGATATGCAATGTTGTTTGTGGTTTAGTGGTAAATTTTAATTTTGTAGAACGGTTTACACAGAAAATTTAAATAAACTAATGAAGAAATCAAATAACTTTATTCATTAATTCAAAAATAATTCTTCTGAGTTTATAGGAATACACTAGTACTGTTTGCATCAAAAGTAAATATAGTCATCCCCATCAAAAAGATTTTTGTTGTCACTTGGTAATAATGTATTTTAACACACTGTCCATATTTCTAATAATTTTTGAACTCTGACATTTTTTTGATATAATGATTCTTTAATGTCGATTTGTACATTGTTACAATAATTATTATGTTCAAAAAATTCAAACATTACGAATTAAAAAAAAATTGGTCAAAAGCTCTTTCGACAGAAGTTCCCTCACCCTTAAAGTATATTTTTTGCCAAAATCAGTTTTATCTTAACAAGTGTTAACCCCGCCCACCCGCCCCCTAATTTTTCAGAGGATATGTCATTTGCCAAAGTAAGATTTATCTTACCAAGTACTAGCCCCGCCCACCCGCCCCCTATTTTATCAGGGTATGTCATTTGCCAAAATCAGTCTTATCTTACGAAGTATTAGCCTCGCCCACCCGCCCCCTAATTTTTCAGAAGATATGTCATTTACCAAAATAAGATTTATCTTACCAAGTACTAGCCCCGCCCACCCGCCCCCTGTTTTCTCGGGGAATGTCATTTGCCAAAATCAGTCTATCTTACCAAGTACTAGTCCCGCCCACCCGCCCCCAAATTTCTCAGAGGATGTCTTTGCCAAAATAAAACTTATGTTAGCAAGTACTCTATGCAATATATAAAAATATTTGTACGAACCAATGTTCCGCCTACAGGTTGCATGCACGATATACACATATTCTAGAAATCGAATACCCTATAGATTTTTAGATACTTAAAATCTTTATACCTAAGAAAAAATCTTTTAGCAACTAGTTCTTAACGATAATTACAATATGTGAAACATCTCATTTAAAGTACGAAAAAGTGGTGTCCCGTTTCCGTCTCTCCCTCTGTCTGTCTGTCTGTCTGGCTGGTGTCTGTATCCATTTTATTAGACAACTAATCTCTGAAACTACTGGATTGTTGTCACCAATGGGATGTCTCATCTCCAAAATTTATAATATTTTTTTTTTAATATACAGCCTGTTATTGAAGGGTACGTACAAAATAAAATCGACAATTGGTCTCGAAGTATGGGTGCTAAAAGTTAAAAAAAGTTCAGGTAAAAGTGTTCTCCTTTTAGAGATAAAAATTATTAAAATTTATGTCCAAATTCGTTGTACGCCTCTGATAAAAATATCATCTTTCGTTTCTATAGCGACATTTACTCTTGACAAAAGTTTTATTGTTACAGTTGCTTGGATTTACTAAAATAAATTAATTTTACCTATTTATCCTTCAGTAGCGTCTGAAAAGATTGGATAAGGGTTAATTTTCCCCTTAAAATTTTGATATGACAAAATAAGTTTTTCCGAATTCTTAGACTTCGCGAAGAACTGTCCATTTTGTTGTACGTACCTTTCAATAACACCCTGTATATTATAAAGTAAGATACTCCTGCACTTGTGGTATGCGAATCCGTGTCGAATTTTCACCCTATACTTCCAGAATTTTTGGAAAAAATTCAAAACTGAATAACAATATTTTGCAATATAATTTTGAAACTGCAGAACCGATTGCTCTGAAATCTTATAAATATTTTAAGGCCATTGTAATTATGGTAAATCGTTAAGCAAAATTTGTTCGTTTATCCCCTCCCGAAAAATTGATGAGACGTAATCTCAAAATTTTGCCAAAAAAATTCTACCTAAAATGTGATAAGTCTAAACTTGTGATTTATCATTGCATTAAAAGTTTTTAAATTTCTTATACAGGGTGACTCATAGAAAGGAATGAATGAGTCAATTTATTTTATTTACTTTGACGTTACATACATATCGTTATTTTAATTTATAAGAGTTCTAATAAAAAAAATAAAATTCCCACAATCAAATTTTTTCATATTTCAGGGGGGAGGGAAGTTCTGTCGAAATAACCTTCGACAAATTTTTAATAAAACAGTTATTTAAAATGAGCGCCCCTTGGTTCTGAAGTATAATGTACATATATAGTTTTGGAAATTTCATTCTATTCTATAAAATTTTATTGACAAAAACGAGACGGACAGTATTACAATGGTAAGAAATATTTATGGCACATACCGAATTTGTTTTTTAACAGGTAGTTGTACTCATAAAATAATGGTCATTTTGGTTCGTGAGTAACGATGGTCACTGTCCGATTATTCTGCTTTCTAACATCTGAGGATTACCGGCACGCGACAACTTTAAGTTGTAAATATCTCTTACTATTGTACTACTGTCCGCCTCGTTATTGCCAATAAAATTTTATAGGGTGGAATGAAATTTCCAAAACTATACCATCGTATCAGAGTGAATTAGTACTGAACATTTTTGAACTTAATGACATCAACCTTATGATAGGAATAAATATCTTAATTCTGATATATGCAAGATAACAACAATTACAGCGTCACTATAGTTCTAGAATTCATAAATCATTTCTGAGACAATAAAACAAATCAATGAATTTTTTAAAACTTGTGTAAAACAATTGTCAAAATAAATAGGTAAGTTTTACCAATATGGCGTTTGTTTTCGTAAAAATTTCCGTTGCGCAATTTTAAAAAATGAGAATTCCTGATTTATCTTAACATCTTCTTTTATCTGGGTTCAAAACGTCCACAAGATTAGGAAATCGTTGTTTTTCTTACTTAGCCAAAGATCTAAATACCTTTAAAAACCTACGAAAAAACTGTATCAGAAGAAAACCACTCTACAAACGACAAAATGACAGGCTGCCATCTTAAAAATGGCGGAAAAGTAATTTGTATTTAAATTTGATCACGAGACAAGAGCATTCGCATCATTTCCTTTATTCGTTATCAAAAATCTAAATACCTTTAATGTGTAACTTTCAAACGTGACGTAGCAACCATTCCAGGAAGTGCGATACTAACTCTACGCAGGTGAAAATATCCAACATTTTTATTAAATGAGGCAGATGATTCATATTTTTTTCGCACTTCCAAGAAATTTACAAATATGAAGTTTTATCAGTACACACTCAGCCAATCATAACTCATTGTGAACCTGTATGTCATAGTTCTGTTTAAACAAATGTCGTAATTACATTTGAGTGATAAAAGTAAAAATTTGTTATCCCTAAAACTTTTATCTTTATCAGATTATTTTATCAGGTTGCGACAAATACACTGTCGCTAATTGCTACTCTAACATAGTTCTGGTGTTTGTTCTTCCAGCTACAATGAGGACGTTTTCACATATAATTGTACTAGTGTGTACGTTAAGTTTCGTTGTTGGTCAAGAAAATGCAGGTACTAATGTGTCTCCAGCCCTACAAAGGTGTTACAACGAAACGCGTTATGTCACAAGGGATTTAAGGCCACCGTCGACTATTAACGTTCTAGTGGAAATTCTACGCAAAATTGAAGATGGTAACCCTTCACAAGATGCAAGAGAACTGTCTTTCGAACTTCTTCACAGGTATTTCACAATCACTGTTAAAAATTAAAATAGAGGACACACCCTTTTTCCAGGTTTCGTCAAGACGGTATTAGAAGAACTACGAAGGACGTAGACGCCAGTCTAGGTTTACCCTACAGTCCGAAAGGTTGGGAATCTTATAAAAATCGAGTCCAGCTTACAAGAATAACTCCAGGGAACGCAATCAACTTTAATAATGACAGCATATCTACTATGCAAACTGTAATTATGACATATTGTTATATTTGCGAAATGACCTGAATATTTTAGTGCGCCCTTCACTTCATGGTGTCAAGTACTATCGAACTTTTCGTGCGTCCTGAAGATAACAAGTGCCCTAATACCATAGCCCGATATACAAATAGAATTCAAAAAAGACAAACTGAATGGAGTGATTCGTCGGACGCCACTAGAAGTGACTGTCCAATTGAAAGCGGAGTCATTTACACCAAATGGGGAGCTGTGAAAGCTGGGCTTGTTTTGGCTGGAATTGCTGCAGGTTTTCAACCAAATCCGCTAAGAATCGACAATTATACACTTAGATCTGAGTACGCCAGCACTATTGCAGGTAACATATGCAACTACATATACACGAGGAGTGTTTTTGTAATAGTATTTAATTAAACGTGGATTGTTATAGGGGAACTATCAGAAGTCGCTCTGAACCAATATTCTACTCCCACAAAAACCGTGGGAAATAAGGGTGGATGGAATAGTACAGTTCAACCAAAATATTATTTCCTGGCATCCAGTAACAAAGATAACCTTTATCTTACGGATGCTGAAATTCGGGGTGGTCTTGATGGATTGTATTTGGCCCTCAATATACAAAGCTGGAGGTCAAAAGCTAACAATATAAAGATTTCACAGATATTAGATCTTTACTATGGCAGAGGTGTCTTTAACGATTCTTCAAGAGCTTGCAACCGTAAAACGTTAATAGACAATACAGTGTCGAGTGATATTTTGGTACAGCAAACTACAGCTTTTAGTAAATTATTGGATGGGGAATCACAATTACCTTACACACCTAAGGAAGAAAATTTACCCACGATATCTAAAGCAGCAGTTGATAGTCTTCAAAGTTACAAAAGTACCACTACCTATTGCTAACACTGCACATTTTAACGATTTTGTTGTAGATAATCTGAATGATTTAGCGTGCTCAGCCGAAAACGACCTAATTGAACGAGTTTCTACGGACATTTTGATTTTCGTTGATACAGACTGGAAATTCGAGGTACTTCAACCACTTATTTCGTATCTCCTGGAAAATATCGATGTCAATAAGTATGAAAGTTCCTACACAGTTTTAGACGGAGCCAACTGCGATATCATTGTTAACAAATCTAGAAGCATTCTAGATTTTTACGAACAATATAATCTTACCCAACAGCAGAAATGTACAAATCCATAGAGTAGTGATGAATATCTATAGTTGAACGTGCAAATTTCAGATCCCACAGGTTTTGACTACACTAAAGTTGTTCAAATGTCGGAAAAACTTTTCAAAGCAAAATTGGATAACGAAACAGATCTGACAGGACAGTCTATGATTATTTTAATGCTTCCTCATAACACCCCAACTACAACGCATAGGGATTATGTACGAACCAGACGAGAAGATTTCAAACGCACTCTTCCTGGTATGTGGTGGTGGTACATTTAATAGAACAATGTATTAATGAGATTTTTTAGATGTAAGAATAATCGTTGGAGGATCAGGTTCACAATCTTCCTACAGCGATTTGGTTACTACTGCAAATAGTGACATATTCACGATATCTGAAGACAATTCAGATACACAGATTAAAGACACTGGTAAACTTATCACAGAGCGACTGAGAAAAAGTAAGTTAATTTTTCATTCATACGTACTATTATTATTATTATTGTTGCAGTACCACGAAGCGTGGTTAATCCTTCATGTCGCTCGTACTTTAATAACGAAGGGTCAGGAAACTTTGAAATAACTCAATACGTTGAACCATCTGGGGTTAATTACCATAAAATTTCACCCAATTACTTCTACGAAGGTCAATCTTTGAAAATCAGAGGACAAGGTTTCGGAAGCATAACAGTCTGCACTTCACGAACTGACGCCAATCCAAAAGCTAATTCTACCACTAGTGATGGAAGCACTTGTAAAACTCTTAATTCAGATGAAATGTCGGTAGATATCAGCAATTATTGTACAGATGAAACTGTCACTAACTGCTCGCCTATTTATATTTCTGTGCAAGGCGAAGAATCCTCTAGTCCCAGATGCACAGGTAAACAGTTCTATTTGATAATTCAGTCAATACGTTTATTTTATTTTCAGAAAAGTTGTGTCGGTTTCCTGATAACATTAAATATACTATATACTTGGAAAGTGTTCAGTGTTCCAGCAGCGGTATAAAAGTAATAAGTAGTATACTTTTAGTGTTTTTGTTGGTGGTGGTTAGTAACTTTTAGAATGTACACATATCTATATTTTTTACCTATACAGTATCGTAATTTAAAATGACATATATATAAGTAACGATCGTTCCATTTTGTACTGTTTGTTGAAAATAATATAGCAATTACGTCTTCAAAATTCTTTCATTTCATACTGTGGGCTACTATTTCTCAAAATATGACACAATGTATCAATTTACAACCACATAATCTACATCTAGAAATACACAAGTAATGTGGTTATTCTTGAAATCATCACTTATTTATTGTGAACAATAAAATGTGGCAATAGTTAAAGTATGAACTTTAATACTATGAAGTAGAAATCCCTTGTAATGCAATTCATTTACGCCTAAATTATGACGTCATAACCTTTATTTACATTCGTGAATAGTACTTACGATTTCAACGACTTTTCCAGGAATGCTAGCCACTCTTACCGCCTTTATAGTTGTGGTTGTGAAATAATGAACGCACCAAGAAATGGGGTTGCGCAACAAACGCCTACAACTGTGATGAATGAGTAGTTGCAACTATATATGTTCATATCATGTTTCAGTATAACAGCCGTGAATGCATCTGTGACGTCAGTGAAATGGAAACGTAAATTTTGAAAAGGTGAACAGGATTGTAAATTATTAGTACGTTATAAGTCACTTAGCCCGTGTTCATTCTTTAAAAACGAGAATTTTGAAATATTTAGACGTTTATTTAACCCCTCAATCTTTACAAAGTACATAGGAAGCTTGATATCTAATCATGGCCAAGCTTTTTTAATCGACATACATTGTTCAATCTTCAAAAATACAACGTTAAGTTAAAATGTAAAATGAAAGCAAATGAGCTATTAAACTACAGACAGTAGTAGTCAAAGTTTATAAAAACAATATTGTAAAAATGCGCACGACGTCATGCTTGGCAAATTAATCAAGTCACAAACGATTATGCACCACTGGAATAAGAATAATTAAGAAAACGTTAACTTGTTTTACATGTTTTATAAGAATAATTACAATGAAAGTACAATGTCCTAATAAAATGATGGAAAGGTACCTTATAATAAACTTCACACATCTGTTTATAATGCTGTCATCCTAAGTGTTCAATCATAATTTATGACCCTCTAGTAAAAACAGAAGCAAACAGACTGAAAACAAATTTGCTGATTTCAGAATCAAAGGTTTCATTTCCTTATTCCGTTGAAATTATAAACAAACAAAAAAACGTGAAAAATAAGAAAGGCGGACTGTGGAAAGAGCATGTTTTAACAAGTAGCGATTTTTAAAACGTTTAGTTCGTTATTTAACAGTATGTGAAAGTTTATATTTTCCAGGAAGAATCGTTGACCTCTTCTGAATTATGCTTTCTTCATATTAATGATAGTTTCAAATACTTTCGATTCGCGAAGCTGAAAGGAAAGTAATCATGCTCTCATCAAGTACATTTACCGTTCAAAGTTTAATAAATATGTTTTTTTTTTGTGTTAAAACTGGCTACCACCTAATTCAAATATAACTAACTACTACAATTAAATAATATACAAATGCATATTTATATTATACACTAAACTTATAAGTGAGCGTCGCAGCTACCACAACAAGTATTTGCCGCTTATCTGCACAGTGATACTACGCCTAACAAATTGGCGTATTCATTCACCCTGATACCTATATTATGATCCTTGTTTCGGCAAGGCGGCAAAAATCAATAGCTCGGTTAATGAAACAACCATTTATAAACACTCGGTAGAATCCCCTTATTCAACGTTGTATAGACTCATAATGACCTGAATATTTAAATCACTGACTGTAGTTATTGTTTCATGAAAAATAATTAAGTATAAAATACAAACACACATTTAGGCTTTTTTTAAACTTTACACTAGTTGCAACAATTGTTGATACAAAAGTCCTTACTGATATAATTTGTCACCGTAGCATATTAAATTTTATTAACACTGGAAGATGACATTAATATACATAGCAATAACCACTTTTCAGTTTTACAGAGTATTTTTTGATGTAAATTTTACATAAAACCAACTGATGAGCGAGCAACTCCTCTAGGCGTCGGAACTCTATTATGCAGATTATTCCGCAGCTCAATATGCAATTTTTGTAGAAAGGATAAAAAGAATTCACATTACACTTACATACATACTCAGAAGAAGTTTTTACTTTGTGACTTAAAATTTACATTAATTAAAACTTTCATTTATTGTGGACGCAATTCGATACCCTAATAAGTCGCTGGATTAAAAATTACACAAAATCGTTAATGAGTCATGTGATTGTTAAGTGTTGAAACGCTGTCTTATTTACGGCGTCGTAAAACTTGTTAATTGTAGTAAAAATAATCTATAAGGTACCGAAATAATGTATTTTGTAACTTGTATATTAGTAAATATGTTTAACATTTGAACGTGTCCGGTCGTGATGACGTCGATGTTGTGGCCACAGCGTCACAACGCCTTGGGAAAAAATCCGTCTTGAATTGTCAAGCGTGCGTTCCAACCCACCTATAAAATAAAGCCAAGCTTTAATTTCCACTAATAACATTACCCAGGTCTGTTGCTATGCGCTTGACGCAGAAAAAATTAATGAAACCATATGCTTCAACGCTTACATAAATCTATTTTCTAAATGAGTGGACTCGATTTTAGTGCGAAAACTATGCAAAGGCATGGTGAAAACTCTACAAATATAGGTAAATTTTGTCTCTACTTTAATTTAATAACCTCAATACTTTATTATTAATTCGACGAAATATAAACGACATGGTTTCAGTAATTTTTAGCTTTTGATAATTTTTTCTCGCCGCATTGTAACGTGATGTGCAAACCAGCGGGATAAAGAAAAATTAGATGGTTCCACTTAAAAAGAAGTTGATGACGTCACGCCGTTGCCGCAGTAACGAATATGAGCACCCTAATTAGTGGGAAATGAAGCTTTAATTTGTCCTGTAGGGAGAGCTGTTTTCGGCTTTTTTCATTATCTTTACGCATAAAGATGAATTTTATGCGTTACGTAATTACCACTCGGTATATTAATAAGAATTTCATCGTGTCGGGATAAATTTGTCGCCGTTTCAAGTATGGTATGCGAGTGCGGATAAAAGTCATAAATCCAGCAGTTTTCCTTACTTTTCCAATATCTGTTCCTGAAACAGAGACGGTATTAACATAAATTAAAAACACTTTTTCGAATTTGTGTTGGTTTGTCTGTGTAATTATCTTAGTATTTGTGATACTAATACGTAGTAGTAAATTTGAAAATTTAGCTGGGTAAATAATAGTCACAAATTACAAATAGCAGGTTAGTTCCTTTATGATGTAATTTTACTAAAAATAGATATTTTGCAATAACTGTTAGTCAAACAAACATTTTAAAACTAATTCATTCAAACGTTCATGTTTATACGATATATATTGTGTAAATTTTGTGTAGGTACAGAGAGTGTTTAAAAATGTGTTCCCATCATAATTTGTAAATTACGCAGAAAAAGTTAATTACAAATTAGTTTTAATATTTTGTTCAGTGGAGCAATTAAGTTTGATAATAAAATCTACTTACCTCCCGTCGCCGTCAGAAACACAATATTTCCAGCTTACAATGTTTTAAGACAGTACCAGTCTGATCTACTCAGCAAACAGATAATTAAACGGCAATTACATCCAAACAATTATTTCAATTACTTAGTAGTGCGTACAACCGTAGAGAGTGTATTAAAACCGCATTTGTAAATTAATTAACCCCTTGTTGTTAGAAATTAGAGATGTAAATGGTTATTAATACAACTATAAAACTAAATTAAATTGGAAACTGATGATAATTTAAAGTTGTACCACTACTGAAAAATTACAAGCGACTTGATCGTGCTGTCTCTTTTTAGTACGTCTTCGGATAAAAAAATGGGGTTAAAATGTTAATTAAATTCACGTTTGAGAGTCAACGTTACGTTAGTTTTGTAACAGTAGTTAAGAATTTTATCCATCTTGCTATTTACATAGTGATTCTAGAAAGGCAACGAAATAATCTAGAATAGTAACTGTAAACGGTGAGATCACTTTGGTTCTGAGAAGTGTATGTTAGGTTTGCGTGTAGTTTGAATTCAAAATTTTCGTAAATACCGCATACGTAACCAAAACGCAATGTTACATATAAATTTGTTGAACGTCGCGACTAAATATTTGGTAGCTCCGGTTACATACCTGTTATATCTTCCACGTTCGCTACCAATTTCATCCAACTTGGTCGTAATATAGTAAAATAAAAAAAATTAATTGGATACAAAGCAAAGGAATGCATTCTGTGAATCGTAAATGAGCACCTAATTTTATTTTTAAATGTGATTTCGTCCCAAAAGCGATGATACGAAATCACGTAGGTTATCAAAACTGATTTCCTATAAGAATGAAAAACAAGTAGATATAATATGCATTTTACCTAGCTACGGATGCGGCGTTCAGTTATAGGAGATGTCGATGTATGGAAACTGGTTTTAACTCCGGTAACCTAGCTTTATGATGTTATTAAACGAAACTCATACAGCTAGATAACCAAAGAAAATATCAGTTCCAAAATCTCAGCGCAGATCCAGCAAAAAAAAAAGGTCACAGACAAGAGAAGTGTGAATTAGGTATACACACAAAAATGCACGTGACGATTGAAGTAATCCAGCACAAACCGCACAAACTCGGCGCTTAATTTTAGAAAATTTGAGGTTGGACATTACTTTTGATAACAAAATAAGTAATAAGAATCAAACAACATCTTCAACCGCACTTGAAGAACTGACCAAACGCGCGCTGCTTGGCAAGTGGGACGTTTTGCTTTGCTTTCCCCATCAGTGTTCGGCCAGTCTTCGAACTTGATCGTTAGGAAACCAGTTTTAAAAGCCAAGCCTCAACTTGGCCTACCTGTATGTCACTACGTTGCCAAACTTTCTAGTCTCAAGGCAATATTTGGAAATTTTTATAAACTCGCTAACGCGAACTCGATCAGGTACCGCGACAAGTCGTTGTTTTAATAAAATCTTAATGTACGTTACATCGACATGGATTCGAAGCGGCAACGCGGAGATCACAAAAATTCATCCATATGTACATAGATCGAAAAAATACGTACCTGCTGTACCAAT